TTGTATCGAATGTTTTACAATTTTGTTTTGTGTTGACTAACGAAATTTGATAACATTCTGTAACGTGCTGTTATGGTGGCTGTGTTTTATGCCGCAATGTTTTACCTTTTATTCTTTTTTTAAATAATACAAATATTCAACAAAGTTAATAACCAGCTTAGTAATAATTTCCAGAGTTGAAGCAATAGTAAATAAACTTAAAAGCAACTGAACTTCACTTTTAGTTATTGTAGTCTGTCATACGAATACCTACACCGTGATGAAAATTATGGACATCGCACATCAGCGAGGCATGACCAATCCAAATGAGTACGCTTGGATCACCCTCTACAACATCTACTCCAGCTTCAACTTCAACACGCTCTTCGTTCCCTGGATGATCGCCAGTGATGCCACTCAGAGAGAGAGCTTGAAGAAAGCATACCTCGCTGTTAAAGCTGTTTGTATTATTCTATTGGCGATTTTTTCTAAAATAACCGATGGTTTTAGACGTATATATCTTGAATTAACATTTCAAGGCTAATACAATCGGCAGAGGCGGATCTGGAAGAGTGGGCAGTGCCCCCCATGTTGTGTGCAGTTTTTTTAATAAAAGTCAGAAAAGGACCGTTTTAGGTAAAAAATCGACTACAAATTGGATGTGATAAGAATAAAAGGTCGTTAGCCACACTACCACAAATCTTGGCCCTCGTAAAAATTTTGGCCCTCGTAACAATTTGTTTGAACATTTTAAAAATTTGGCCTCCGTCAAAGTTGTCACGATCCGCCACTGACAATTGGTTTAATTGAATTTAGCTAAATTACAAAAAATCTTTAATTATAATTTTCAATTTTGTTATAACGATGTTAAACTTGTAGGGTACCCTTCACTGCAATTTTTATTTCAATTTCACCTGCACTCTGTCGCGTCCATTACGTCGAAAAAACTGGGGTTTAAATTAGTAGTTCTAACAGTTATAATAATATGAGTCGGTTTGGCTGAAAAAAAGATATCGTTTCATTATTCTGGTGGTCAGAAGAAAAATATTTTTCTCAAAACTCTGAAAAATTTGAGTTTAAGTTGTCCAGTTTATTGTTACATTGTTGGATGATTTGTTATCAAAGAAAAAAAATATTGCCAAAGAATAATTTGTAGCTTTTATTCACGTAAAAAAAAATGCGAATATATTGTTAAAAATTACAGTAGTTTTTTTGTGGGTAGCGATTTTATTTCCAATTTCAAACACTACTACATTTTTGAGTCGTCAAATAACTCTTCCGTACTCATAAAAAAATCAGCTCACAAATGGTAAATAACCTTGAATCTCTGAAAGTATTAAATATTATGCCATCAAAAAACTTTCAAGTTTATGTCAGATAATTTCAACATCCTAATTAACCAAAACAATGCTTGATTGAACAGTTAGCATACAAGAACTACACCAGACTACCAGATCCTAGTGCAATTTTAGAACAATCTGTCACATCTGGCTCGTTGCTTATGGTGAAAAACTCTTTCAATGCTATTGTTATTTTTATTCTTTGTAAAATTTTACGGATCCGTTGAGTTCACGGATTCAATGATAAAATTAGAATATTAATTTTGTTAAAAAAATAATATGTAATTTGATTATTTTAAAAACATGGACTGTAGTTTGATGAATACTTTTTTCTTAATTATAGGATATTCTGTCAGATTCATTCTATCTGTTCTTCATATTAAGGGGCAAAGTTGTGGAGGGTGAGGGCGATCCGCGTAGTGGCAGAAATATTCTCAACTCGAGTCGATCCTTGAGGTTGAAAGGAGGTAGGTGCATTTCGTACTGCTGTTGGATTTGTTTTTTATTTCCTTCTTTTGTTTGTTAGAATTGAATTTTTAGAATATTGGCACTAAATAAGTGTCTTTTAGTTCTTATATTAAAATTTGTAGAGCAGTTATTTTCATTTACCATTATGACAATGGACAGGACAGTTTTAAATGGTGATGGGTAGCTTTTTGATAAAATACATAAAGCGTAATTTATTTACGAAATTTTTTGAACGATTTTTTGGAATTAAATTTTGACAATTCAAACTGGAAAATTGACATCCATTAAATTATTGAAATGAACACTGCAACACAGCCGTCACGGAAAGAATCGAAATGAACGCCGACGGAGACAGACTAATGACTTTTATTGTTTGGTCACTATCGCCAAACTCACCGATGTTTAGACCAATGCTCAGTGTCAATTTCACGGATGGCAACTACACGGTTTGTCAGTTTTGGATTTTTATTTTTAATTTTATTTAATTTCAGTTTTTTATTTAGTTCAGTTCTTTTTTTGTTTTAGTTGTATTAATCGATTGCTCATCAATCTAGTCCTATGTGATAGATACGGAAAAATGGGGCAACTCCGACACCCCTCCCCTTGACACTCCACTGTGTTATTACGATAACAAATTATGCAAAAAAGGTTAGGTTATCAGTTTATTAACTTATATACTTTTTCAATATTATTTTAAATTCTCTGACAGTTTTTAAAAACTTCAAAAACTAATTAGTAACTAGCCATTTGTCGTAGAGAAACACGTAATTAAGTCGTTTTCACCAAAAAATAAGTTGCAAACATCCTAATAGTCTTTTTTTAAAATTTAACAAATAAGTTACGCATCGTTTTTAAAACTTAGAAAATTACTAAAACTTGCCTAAGCACATCCCTCTTATCTTAGAAGGCCATTGTTTCGTTAAATAAACTTCAACTGGTCAAACAATTATGTAAAGTAGGGTCAAGAAATAAATAAAATAAAATTGACTTAAACTAAAAATTGCATTTTGGAGTCGCAGGTTTTAGGCTTGGTTTTTATAGCGATGTTTTCTTTTTTCTTTTTTCTCGTGTCTTATCCTTTCAAGACATTGGCGACCATCGACCTCCACAAAACGCGATCTTTAACACTTTGTAATAGTTGAAATGTAGTGATATTCAAAAAGTGACACAAGGACTTCACAAATGTTGTTCGTTGTTGACCGCGATCTTTTTTTCCTGCAATCTTTCCAGTAGTTGTGACATTTTCCATTCCTTCCTTCCGCATGATGTGACCAAAAAACTTTAACTGCCCCTGTCGGATTTTCTGTAGTAATTTTCTCTTTTCATAACCGGACTGTTTTAATACATCCTCATTCGAAGTATGAGAGGTCCAACTAATTTTCATAATTCTTCTCAAAAACTACATCTCAGCAGCGTTAATTTTTTTCCATTTCTTTAGAAATTGTCCAGGATTCACAGCCGTAAGTTAGCACAGGAAATACGTAACATCCTAACAGTTATAATTATTTTGATATTCTGATTTTGCAGTTAGTGAAGATTTTTTCATTTTTAAATATGCATCTTTTGCTATAGCTATCTTTCTTTTGATATCCATATTACATTTACAACCTTATGTAATCAAATTTCCGAGATCATTGGAGCTGTTAACATGTTTCGCCTGTTTAAAATTGATAATTAAGGAGCAGGTCGGGGCGGATTTGCTTTTACTGATAACCATGCACTCTGTTTTGTTTAGCTAATATGCAAACCTTTTCTTTCACTTTCAAAAACCCGTTTGAAAACATTTGTTTGCAGTATTTCCATTGAATCTGCTATAAGAGTCGTTTCATCGGCATGTCTAACATTGTTTATATTCACGCCTCCAATGGATATTCCAAGTAGATTTATCTATCTCATGATGATCTCACTATAGAGATTGTACAGGTCTGGAGAGAATACACAGCCTTGCTTAACACCTTTCTTTATTTCGACATAGCTAGTCATCTTGTTACCAACTTTCATCGCCGCTCGTTGGTCCCAATAGAGGTCATTCGTAGTACAAAGCTAGCGTTTCTTGTGCCACAATCCTCGACAAAACCACATTGGACATTTGAAATTTCAGATCTTGATTTTGCTTCGTGCTCTCATCATCAGAATTTCTAAGAAAAGTTTTGTAAGATGACTCATCAAGCTGATTGTTCGATGTAGTTCACATTTCGTTGTATTAGGTTTTTTACGCAATGCAATAAATATTGACTTGGAGATATCTTCAGGAATGTCGCCGCTGTTATAAATCTGTCTGTAGAGATGTTTTACATATAATAATAAAAATAGGCGTGACAGATCCCAATGTATACTTAAACGTATATTTCAGCGTTTGAGTAAAAACTGAAAATTCAAAAAGTAGTAATAAATGATAATAAAATGGAGCACAAACATTTTTATGAACAAAAGTTAATAACTTTAAACATCTTCAGAAAGCAACACGTTAACAATTGGGTTGGCAGTCATGTTTGTACTACTCATTTTCATCATATCCCTTTCCTTGATAATCAGGTTGATGCACCAGTTGGATTTTATGCGATTTTCAAATTAAAAGCAAAAGATTGGGGCATGAGATGTAGAAATTTAAAAAATTGTCGTTTGTCCAACTGATTTGTGAAAATACTAACTTAAATTTATTTTTTAACAAAAAGATTTGATAAACATGTGGTAACATGTCCACATTTTACTTTGAAAAGAATGATAAATAATGAATAAGCGATATAAAAAACGCTCAGAAAAACTACCGACTTTTTTTACTCGATTTTAAGTTTTTTTTTGCACCAAAAGGTCGCACGTGAACGAGCAGAGGATACAGAGCATGACTTGGAAGATCAAATACAGTGACTTACAATTTCTCAAAAGAGCCAAAAACGTTAGCATTATTATTTAATGACTTTTTCTTTACAACAACAAAACTCTGACAAACGCAGATACGTCGGTACAACGTGCAAAAGAACTACTACAAAAAATAAATAAAAGAGTTAAAACGATAAGAAAAGAAAATGATAAGAAACAACAAGATAACGATAAGAAAAGAAAATGATGCAAAAATATGAAATAAAAAAATATACTAAGTAAAATAAACAAAAACAGTTGAAAGGTGTATCGAAGTCTTCAGACGTGAGCGAATCGGAGGAGCACGTATTTTTGCACTCCTTCAAGGACTTCGATGATGCCAGCACTGGTGGTATGCTGACAGCCATCCACAAAGGAGAAGTCGTCACTGTTAATTATTCTTTAAAGAGGGAAATTGCCCTAACTAGAAAGGATCTTGTGGAGTTGGTGAAAGTTAGTAAAAGTTTAATAAATGATATTGGAAAGATGTTATCGTAATGAATATGATATGGAAAGTGATAACGAAATTTGGAAATACTTTTATAGTTGTGTAGTGAAAAACACTAACTCATTATTACTACCTTCCTGTCATAATAATTTTGTGAACAAATGTCTGACAGATGAAAGATTTGCAACATGACAATATCATTTACTTCCTGGGTGCAAGCATCGAGCCCGACAGAATTTGCTATCTTACTCAATATTGCGCAAGGGGCAGCTTACAGGTTTTCGTTATTTATACATAAAAATTATCAACATTAAAGTTATTTATACTTAAAATTCTTTAAAATTAGAACAATTTAGCAGTTTTAGCGACATTTCATCATTAGATTATAACATTGTAGCATCACATCTTCACAATCATATATATCGAGTGAGGTCTAATTAAGCTAATTAGGATAATTAAGATTTATGTTCAAGACATCATCACACCATATTTCCACGACACTGCAAGGAGCTCTTGGCAGACCCCCAAACAAGCGTAGATTGGACGTTTAAATTGTCATTCGCAACGGATCTTAGCAAGGTATGCGGGCATAAATTTATTCAGTTTATACTGTAGTTAAAAGATATTAAACTAAATCATAAACGTCAATACTGAAGAATAAACTCCCGCACAATTTTTTAAAATATGTCCCACAATAACTATCGATAACTGAAAAATTTATTGACACGGTCAAATCAGCTCATTTTATTAGGCTTTCGATTTTTAAAATAAAAAATAATTTTGTATATTTCAATAACGTTTGTCGATATTTCCAAATTTTTTTGTAATTCTGTGTATTTTTTGTTGAATGGTATTATATCGAAATAAAAAATTGTTCTACCTCTGTCTGACCACCAGGGCATGAACTATCTTCACAAATCCTTCATCGCGCAGCACGGAAAACTAAGCAGTAAAGTCTGCATGATTGACAACAGGTTGTTTTTTGTAATAAAAATTAAGATTTTTCTGCAGATTAGCACTGTCTGAAAATTTTCAGTATTTCTATTTGCCCTAATAATATTTTTTTCAATCTTTCTATTCAGTTTTATGTATGCTATTTTATTTTGTTTGCGCTTATACCAAAGAGGCGTTTTATATACTGTTTGTATCTAAGTTTCAAAATGCTTAATCTATCTAATCTAAAAAGCTAATTTCAATAAGTCAGTTGATTAATTCTATTGTAATGAAGATGGGTCCTTAAAGTTGCTGGATTTGGGTTATCAAAGTTCAAAACCGAAATAAAAGAAGAACATTCCAGTGAAAATTTCTACAGAGATCTGCTGTGGACTGCCCCTGAACATTTGTTGCCGTCTGGTTCAAGTGAGTCGAGTTTAGATGTCTGCAATGATGGAATTAAAGATGGAAATTGTTTTGTTACAATATTATTGTTAACCCTTAGATAGATGTTTATTGTTAAAATCTTTAATCATTTAGATTCATATATATCTGTTGACACCAGGTTCCAGTCAGAAGGGCGACGTTTATAGCTTTGCTATCATAGTGTACGAAATTTTGTTCAAATGTTTTCCATATCAGACGAATAACCTGAAATACAAAGGTGGCAAATTATAATTAAAATCTCAATGTTTTAACATTTTAACTAATTAGCAATTTACATTCAGTGTTAACGAAAATAAAAAAATAAACTGCTGCTACAGCTTACACTTTAGTTGATATACATCAAATCAGAGCTGAATGTTAATAAATGGAGTAAAATTGATACTAACCAGACATAATAACTCGCATTCACAACTGCCTGACTGAACCCTTCCGTCCTCAACTTCGCGCCTTGGAGGACGCGGATGCCAACCCGGCAATTGTAAGCCTGGTCACTAAGTGCTGGGCCGAAGACCCCAACGATCGACCAGCCTTCGACGCCGTTGAGAAAACGTTGAAAAAGTTTCACACTGTAAAGTTGGTTGTTTTGTTGGTTCTTCGTAAGAAATAAAACAATAATTTATTTTTCGGTTATATAAAGAAAGAGAATGCTTAGGTCGACAGAAGTAACAAACTATCATGTGTAATTTAGCAATGGATGTTATTTGTGCAATTTATTAACAATTATTTAAAAGATTTTATAAAGACCATGACAAATGAAATCCATCAAACGGGGAAAAAACTGACGAACAATGAAATTAGTTAAAAATATGAAAAATATAAAAAAACAAAGTATTCAATGTGTATCAGATCAGACAGCATAGTGGACAGCATGTTGAAGAAACTGGAAAAGTACGCCAATAATTTGGAGCTGATTGTGAAGCAGAGGACTCAGGAGTTGATTGAGGAGAAGCGCAAAACTGACATTTTACTGAACAGCATGCTGCCACCGTGAGAAAAATTTCGTCAATAAAAATATTTTTTCACAAATGTTTATTATCAGTTCTTAGTTCTTATTGGAGTTTTGACTTTTTTATTCGGCATGTCATAAAACTTTTGATTAGGTATGTATTGGATTTGTTAAACAAAAAGTTTTATAGCCGATGAACTGAAAGCTGGTCGCAAGGTAGAGCCAAAGTTGTATCAAAGTGCTTCAGTGTATTTTTCTGACATTGTTGGGTTCACGACTTTGTCATCTGAGAGCACTCCCATGCAAATTGTGGATCTGCTTAATGATCTATATGGAGCATTTGATGATACCATCTCCAAGCATAATGTTTACAAAGTTCGTTCAATTTTTTTTCCTATAGTTTATTTCAACATAATTCAAAATGTACAGCACATTAAAAAAGTTGTTTCAATGATAAGGTTGAGACGATAGGAGATGCGTACATGGTTGTGAGTGGTCTGCCTCAGGTAACAGAGCGCCATGTCGTGGAAATATGCAACATGGCATTGGATCTGCTGGGCATCGTCAAGACCTTCAAGATCAGACATCGGCCTGAGATGACACTCATGTTGAGGATTGGCATTCATTCGGGACCTTGTGCTGCCGGTTCGAACCTTTTCACTAACCTCTGAAGGTTGTATGCTAAATGGTCCTAATAATTTCAACAGGAGTGGTCGGTCACACGATGCCTCGCTACTGCTTGTTTGGTGATACGGTCAACACCGCATCCAGGATGGAATCAACTGGTGAAGGTTGGTGTTATGATAATTATTTTACATTTTGTATAATTCAAAAACATTTGGTTCCAAAATTTTTCAATTTTTCTCTTGTCTTGATAATTTTGTTACCTAAATTCATAAAATAATCATTTACAAACCACAAAGCGCTCAAAATCCACTTGAGCACAGCAGCCAGAGATCAGCTCCTAAGATTTCCTGGCTACGTTATCGAGTTGAGAGGCCCCACGGAGCTAAAAGTAAACTTATGCTTAATTTATGAAGAAAAAATTGAAAGTGACATAACAATATTTTATGAAACGAATTCTTTTAAGCTGTTTATTCAGTTTTTCTTTAATTTTGTTTTTAAGTTGAAATAGAATTATTAAATATTTTACCAAATTTTTTTGTCGATGTTTGGAATGATATTCTAATCATTCAAGTAGCATTCATTCTAAATAGCAAAATGTTTGAATTCCATTTGAAGGGCAAAGGTACCATGGTGACTTACTGGCTCTTAAAGAAGGAACCATCAGAAAATAAAAAAAAGTGAAGAACATTATTGAAACATAAATGAATAAACCGTTTTAATTAAAAAAAATGTGAAGAAAAACAGAAATACATATGCACATATCTTTTTTAAACTTTATATATGCCTATGTATGTATCTATGCATATGGAATTTAGAAATTTAAATATATGTAGATGTGTATGTATTTGTGTACATGGCTTACTAACTTTGACTAGTTTGAGAGCTAGTTATTAGTTACTATAGAATTAGCAAAGTTTTTGTGGTCTGTGCTTACATGTTAATTGTTGCCAATAACAAAATATTAAAAAGGCTGATAAACAGAAATCTATCCTCTATCCCAATATTTCTTGAGGCAGTCTATTACAATTTGATTTATTTATGAAGTTATGTGTTAGATTAGATTGAAGTTTTTAATAACAAAGTATGCCATTTATTAGTTGGATTTGTTAATCTCTCTATTTTGATGTTAACATCTTCAATCTGTCATTCGTCTGAAGCGTTTATTATTATTTCCGTGTTTTGAAATATATAGATGGAGTCCATAGTTTATTGTTGTTTTTTTTTATGAACTAATCACAACAACTTCAGCAATTTATTTCATTTCACAAGCAATTAACTTCGATACATACCAACTTCAATCTTTCTTAATTGATTATTTAAATCAGAAAATAATCTTCGATTAATAAAACTTGAGATTAATTCGCATTCCGGCGAGGATTGCATGCTCGTGCACAACTCTCCCTATGTGCCGTCGTGCCACGTCATGTCTGACTGTTTCACTAGTTGATCTCGAGTTGTATGTCTCACGCACAGGCGTGTGTGGCGGAACCATAAATAAAAAGAAGGGAGAATTTAATTAATGTTTGTCAAGACTAGCAACCGCTTTGCTACTTTGCTGCTGGACGTGCCTCTCATTAGAATGTGAAGTTCGTCACGGCATGACTGATTTTTTTCTATCCAAATAAGTATCTAAATGAAAAGTTAGTTATCAGTCATCCGAAAAAAATTAATAACCAAAGTAAACGTCTATATGCATTACTCTGTCCTAAAAATTTGACCTTTTCATAAGTTTTTAATTCGAAATCAATGAGTTTTATAAACAGAAGAAAATTTTTCAAACCAAAGTTACAGAAGTTACAGGACTAATTTACAAACATGATTTATCAAATTTTAAATAACTTATTAACACCAAGTTGTTGTATTTATACCGTTGAGTCTACGTTAACAATTTCTCAAAGTGGTGCAAGACATGAAGCACACGAAATAATCTTTGATATAGTCTAATTGAATTTTACACATAAAGACATATATTAGTATACATACAACACCCAACATTACTGCACAACACTTAAGTTAAACAATTTAACAACAATAAAAGCACATGTATAATGAGTTTATTCGCCGCCATTCAGCGTATCGAACCCGGAACTTGGAAACAAATTAAATTATTTCACAATTTGAGCTCCGATTTTTCATCTTTAGAAATATTTTCCTTTCTCAACAGCCAGTACGTTATCATCGTTCCTTTGCCCTGCAATTTAGATACATATACTAAAAGTTAAAGGTTAAAAGGTCAATTACTCTCTTCCATAGTTCAGGGAATTCAACAAAACGCACAGACATTTTATACGAATACATGCTAAACGACGCATCACACACAAAGCTTGTGGTGGGCGGGGATCTTTTTATCATATTCGAACCCGGTTACTGCGAAACCGCACCAGGCGCCCTTAATATTAGACCATCACACCTTTTTAAATATTCTAAGGTTATTAGTTGAAAATAAAATTAACATTTTCTTAACTTAAAAAAATGTTAATATTCAAATATTCATACAAATATTTTAAACAATTGACTTGTGGCTTTCCTACCTTTTATCAAAATACGTTTTCCAGTTAGATCATGTTTGATTATGTCATGTAGTCAGATAAACATATGTTTCAATCCGAAACTACATTAACTGTTTTAATTGGGTCTATATCAACAAATAAGCTACTAGAAGCAAAAAAATTAGTTTTAAATATTTTGATATGAATCAAATTAAATCGTTAATTCACCTTCAACTCAGTGGGACCCCTCAACTCGATGACGTAGCCAGGAAACTGGAGGAGTTGATCTCTGGCTGGTGTGCTCAAGTGGATTTTGAGGGCTTTGATATGTATCGATAAAAACCGAACATATATTAAATTAGTTTATTTGTTGAATTTACATAATAATTTGCATTTAATTAAATTACTGTCAAAATGAAAAATTTGTTTGAATTTGTAAATTTGAAATAATGTCGGTTGATATATCTTTGGCTGAATTTTCTTAATTTGGAAAATTCACATTTGAAAAATTTATAAAAAAACTTATTTATTGTTTTGACAAAAAAACTTTTAGACTAAAAAACCCAAATATAAAAAAATTATCAAACGACTCTTACAATACAATCGATTCACACCAACCTTCACCAGTTGATTCCATCCTGGAAGCGGTGTTGACCGTATCGCCAAACAAGCAGTAGCGAGGCATCGTGTGACCGACTACTCCTGTTGGAATTATTAGGACCATTTAGCATACAACTTTCAGAGGTTAGTGAAAACGTTCGAACCGGCAGCACAAGGTCCCGAATGAATGCCAATCCTCAACATGAGTGTCATCTCAGGCCGATGTCTGATCTTGAAGGTCTTGACGATGCCCAGCAGATCCAATGCCATGTTGCATATTTCCACGACATGGCGCTCTGTTACCTGAGGCAGACCACTCACAACCATGTACGCATCTCCTATCGTCTCAACCTTATCATTGAAATAAATTTTTAATTTGATAAACAAATGTAATAATTTTTTTTATAAATTATAGGAATAAGCAATCGAACCTTGTAAACATTATGCTTGGAGATGGTATCATCAAATGCTCCATAGAGATCATTAAGCAGATCCACAATTTGCATGGGAGTGCTCTCAGATGATAACGTCGTGAACCCAACGATGTCTGAGAAATACACCGTGGCACTCTGGTACACTTTCGGTTCAACTTTGCGCCCTGCTTTCAACTCTTCTGCTATAAAACTTATTAATGTAAAATAAAATTTTCATTAACGATGGGACGGTAGTTTTTCTTTTCATTATTTATTATTATAAGTATGCCAAATCATGTTATTTCATTCAATAGATAAAACAGAAATAATTTATTAGCATTGAACACTAAATAGCCTATCGAATCAATGTATAACATTATCCAAAAAATGATTATCAGATGCACCGGTTGTGCAAAATATTTAAAAAATAGTAACGGTGGAAGAATGCTGTTTAAGAGAACATCAGTTTTTTTCTTTTCTTCAATCAGCTCTTCAGTTCTCTGTTCAACAATGGCCTCCAAGTTGCTGGCATATTTCTCCAGCTTCTTCAACATGCTGTCAACGATGCTGTTTGTTCTGTTTCAGTCAGTGAAAGTTACATTCATGCCAATCCATCGTCTCATTTATTAAAACATTTGTCGAAAAGTCAACAAAATGTTTTTTTGATGAATGAATATTTATGTTTAGAGATAGGCGATGAATTTTATAAATAAATAATATTTAAGCTAACAAACTTTCCAGTGTGGAATGCTTTCACCATTTTTTCAATGACATCAAAGGGTGGACGAAGGTTCGGATGTTGAGCCCAGCACTGCTTGATCAGGTTCAAAATGGCTGGGTTGGCGTCCGATTCGTTCAGCAGGTGCAACACTGGGCGGAATGGATCACCGGAGCAATCGAGCACGCGCATTATTATGTCTGGTTTTATTTGGTTTCATGATTTTCATGGCTTTTACAATAACAGAGATAAGTTTTGTTCTCTTTCTTTTTCACAATTTCATAAACATAACAAAGGTGAGTTCAGGTAGATGTATGGGCCTCGGCTGCGCTCATAATTTGTCTCACTTGAGTTTAACGCTTTTTGAAGTAACATACGTATTATCACGTTATTTTGAAAAATAATTTAAACAAAAAAAGCCCTTTATTCTAAAAAAAACCAAAAATAAAACTGAATTCATTGCTGGACACCTTTGTAGTGAAGGTTGGTGGATTGGTATGGAAAACACTTGTAGACCATCTCGTAGACTATGATTGCAAAACTGAACACATCTCCTTTTTGACTACTATCATCTGTTGAAAAACAACATTTTTTTTTAATTTTTTATTTTTTCCATTGTCTTTATTAAAATAACACAATACTCGATCATTGGCGGATCTAGACAAATTTGACGGGGTAGCTAATATTTTGAAGATGTGTACTGTTTGAAATTTTGACAAAGGGGCCAAAAAACTACCAAAATTTATAGTAGTGAGGCATAACTTAGGCTAGCGACCATGGACTATGAAAAATAATTATTTGGGGACTAATATATTGGTTTTGAATATTAAAAATGAAAAGTAATAAATTTTATTCTTACAGTTTAAATTTTATATCAAAATAATTTACAGTGCATATGAACAGATAATAACAAGTGACTTGAATTCTGTGCAAACAAATGTTCAGGAGCAGTCCAGAGGAGATCCCTGTAGAAACTCTCTCCATGCTTTTCCTCCTTCATTTTAGTACGGAACGCTGGTAAGCCAAATCCGGTAACTTTTAGGACCCAACTATTTTTGAGGAAATAAATAGAATTTAGTCAAATAAAGGCAGTTTTCAGGCATTTGCTCACGATTAGAAAGTATGTTCAAAAAGTTCCATTTTAAAACAAACTTGTTATCAATCATACAGACACTGCTACTCAGCTTGCCATGCTGCACTACAAAGGATTTGTGCAAGTAGTTCATCCCCTTTCAAATAATGAAACAACAGAGCGAATGAACTTAAAAAAATGTGTTAGCAGTCAAACAAAATTTCAGTTTGAACAAAATTTGACAGATGCACAAACAAAGACAGCAAATAATAATTTTAATTAATTAATATTTGTTATCACTCTGTTAGATGGATAATTTACACACCTTAGTTAAATCGGTTGTGAACGACAGAGTGAACGTCCAATCGATCGGAGTTTGCACCTCAGCTAACAGTTCCTGGTAGGTCGTGACGTGATTGTTGACAATATTTATAAATTTCCACAATTTAAGTTTTGCCTTCATTGATGAACAATTAATGCAATTTTGAGTTTTCAGTGATTTGTAACACTTCATAAACATATGTTGGTTTCTAGTTCCGGCGTTTAATTTTGGTATTTTTGCTTGAAAAACTCAAGCCGGCAAGAAAATGTTTTTAGCCATTAGGAATATTAACCTTCTGCAATTTTGCAACAGACCTTCAGACAAAAACTTTTTTGTTTTAATTATTATTTTTTTAACATAGAAAATGTTTTACAAAAAACACTTACAACCGCTCAAACATGTAAGCAGTAAACAAACATGTAGCAATTAGAAAATAACAACGTTGATAAGAGATGATTTGCAAGCTGTATTAAATAACCTGGAGATTGCCCCTGGCGCAGTATTGAGTGAGGTAGCAAATTCTGTCAATCTCGATGCAGGCTCCCAAGAAGAAGATGATGTTGTCGTGTTGAAGGTCTTTCATCTATCGAAAATTGGTTGAAAACAAAATTTGTGGTTGAAATAATAAAATTTAAAAAATTTAAAATTTGAATAATATTTTCACATCAACTTGTTTATAGAAAAATTTGACCATTTCTTCCAACAGTCTCCATCACCATCAAACGAACACCCTCTCGTACTTTAACGAGCTCTACTAGATCCTTCCTGGTCAACTTAACTTCCCTCTTGCTCGAGTAGTTCACAGTGACCACATCTCCCTTATGAAGGGCCACCATGACTCCGTCACTCGCGGAATCCTCAAAATCTCTGAACGAATGTGGGTACATGGGCTCGTTCCATTCTTTGAAAACTGTTGACTTGGACGAACTTTTCAGCTGTTTAAGTCCAGTACATTTTATGTTTGACCACATTTAGTCTAAAAGTATTAATACTTACATGATGTTTTAATTTGAGTAATTTTTTAATGTTAGATTATATATTTGTTGCACCTCTATAATGAAAGAAAGAAGTGACGTTAAACTTTTTCAATCACTCAAACAAATAGTCAGTTTATTTCCATACACCATTTGTGGTGTATGTTCAACAGTCAAATTTTGTAACTCGATCGGTCCTAAGATCCGCTCAGACCTTCGTAAGTGAAGGAGAAGTAGTTAGAGAAGTAGAAAGAGATTTACAGGGAAAAGAAGAGCAAATGCAAATGCAAACAAAAGAGTCTTTAATCAGAAGAAAAAAAAATAAGAAAAAAGTTAAGACGAAATGACGACCGTAGACCGGGGCTAATAACTAAATAGTTTCAACCTACAAACTTTAAAATTTATAACAAAATCTCCTTACACATTCAGACTTTTTTATGAATTGCAGGTCGCTGTATTTGATCTTCCAGATCATGCTTTGTATCCTCTGCTCGACAATACGAGACCTGTTTCAATTGTTAATTATTCTGTAAATTTTCATTTTCAATGTTTGTAGTTAACGTTTCATTCAAATCACCTGATAGCTACCGATACTGCGATAATTACTATTAGGACAGTGAAGAGAATTCCTACTCCAAACATGATTTTGTCTTGGTCTGATTGCAAAAAATTTATTTAAATCATTTGTTAAAATTGTCTTGTGTTCTGATAGCAGTTTATCAAAATTAAACAAATCATATTAATGAATTGAGTAGGAAAATTTTTTGATATATAAACGGATATTTTACATTTGTAAAAAATATTTGTTTTATGAAAACACTCGAAGAAATAAAAAAAAATTTGTTGCTCTGAACTTGTATTGCAGATGTTGGGGTCATATTCGCATATTGGTCTGTCAAGGGGGGGAATTTGTGAATAACCCCAATTCTCACTGCCCACCAAGAAAGCCTGGGCGTATAAATTAAAAACTGTAAATTACTTATTAAAAAAAAAACATAAAAATACTTATCTAAATTGCCCACCCAATAATTTCCATCAGAGTAGTTGATATTAAGATAAGGTCTGAACATTGGAGAATCAGGCGCCAGGGACCAAACTGTGAACGTCATCAATCTATCTCCGTCTGGGTCCATTTTGATTGTTTCAGTGACACCTGGTAAATTATGTTTAACTATTTAACACCTTTCTCGATGAAGGAAAAACACTAAACTCGTTCAAACGATTCATTTATTATTATCCACTTAGGCAAGCGTTATACAAAAGTGTTATATTTTGTTTTCTGGTCGATTTTTTCTATCAAATTTATATTTATTAGAACTAAACATCACATAAATATAGTCTACCATATTACCTATAAACAAGAAGTTAATTTATCGTTTATAGATGATATTGTTAATTAATCCATTATCCTACCTAACTTAAATCTATCTATTTTATCTGAACAAACCTTGAACTGTCAACAACAAATCGTACAAAAAGACAAGCAATCACCAAAAGACTTACCTCCACTGACTTCCATATCACGACTCAAATTGAGTATGACCCTGCCACTGAAAGGGTTCAAGCCCTGTTTGATGGCCATGTCCCTCAACACGTAATACAGGTACACTGAATCCGTTAAGATGTCCTTTATGAATAATAAAACTTATAACAAAACTGCTGAAAAACAGTCCAAAAATATATTAAACTTTAAATAAATGTATTTTTAACTAGAAAATCAAGCAAAGTTGATAAGAATATTATGAAAACATGTCTAAATTATGCCTCAGTCTTTTTGTCTAACCAATTGTAATGTCTTAGACGTGACGTTCTGCGTTGTGGTTGATTCGGGGTCAGCGAGTCGAGTGTAGTTCTTAAATGTCAACTACGAAATGTAGTATTTAAAGGTATTTCAACAAATTTCAATTTGGTTGAAAACTGTTACCATGAGATTCAAAACTAAGTTTTCTCTATAAAACAACAAGATTGAAACTCGAGCATTACTAACAATTTTAACCGACTGAAAGGCTTTCATCAGCTCGTTCCTTTGCGATGTATTATTGAAAAAGTACCATGGAACGAAGAGCCTGTTGAAATCGAACTTGTAGTAGATGTTGTAGAGGATGACCCAAGCGAACTCCTTCGGGTCGGCCATACCGAGTGTGTAAGCTGCTTGCATTATCTTTGCTGTCGTGCTAGCGTCCGAATGGCAGAACACGATGACTGGAAAAAATGAATATTTGAAAGATGTCACATTAAAATTTAAAATGAAATTTTTGTTCATCCTCATGATGATGCCGTTGTAGATTGATTCATTAAGTTGTTTGTTACTTGCCATTATAGTTAATGCGGATTGTGATACGTAAATCCAAACTATGAAAATATTGCATAAATGAGACAGAAGAAATAAATTATTGAACACTTAATGTATGATCGGCAAACAATAAAACAGTTTTCAAATTCAAAATCAGCACACGCGGATGCTTCAAATAAGCAGTACACCGCCGAGTGCCCATGCTTTTGATTTTAATAAAAGTCCACCACAATAAAAAATTATAAAATTGAAATGAGTTCAAGTGGGTTGAATGAAAAAAATCACTAAATATTTCAAATTTTCGCCCAACAAACCTTCCTCACCCGCTAAATAAAAGTAAGTCCTAAATTTCAACATTTAAATTTATAACAACTTATACAAAACAATACATACTTCTAGACGAGGCAGAAATTTTTTTCAAAAGATCTTTTACTTCTTCATCAGAGAATTCATTATTAACCTCCAAATATTCATCTACTCTTATATTGTTGGCACGAAATTTGCTTCTTGTGGCGTTTATCACAAATTGACAGAAATCTACATCCAATTGCTTAATAATAGCGCAACTTTTCCATTTGTTGCGTTGAAAAAGTGTGTACAACGCCCATCCGTACGTCCTTGGAGAGCCATTCAATCGAATGACCGTTTGGTAAATATTCGAGTTGTCCAGAGCTTCATCGAGGCATTCCGTGGCAAAGTAAGGGATGTCCCAATAGTCCGTCACTTGAGAGGTCGATATGCAATCTTTGGTAAAATAGAAATTAAAGGTATAAAAATTAAAAAAAAATAATTCGTCATCAAATACAATTTTTAAACATACTGAGGGCACAGAAGGACCCAAAAAAGACGTTGGCGTGTTCGTTCATGTACAGCTCTATTCCCGCCTTGGTGCCTCGCACTCCGTCGCAAATGAAAACAACTCTCGTCGACAAGCTGCGGTTAAGATCAATAAAAATTAATAAATCTTTGGGCAAAATGTTCTTGATAAAAATTTTGATTTTAATTTTATTGTCAGATTAGTTTACGAACAATTATTTAATAATTTGAAATTATCAAAACAGTTAATTCCATGCACCATCAGTTGAAATTACGTTTATTTCGTTGCGTACGTAGAGTAATGCTTTATATGTGGTCTGAAGATTTTTAACGCTTGATAAAGTTTTCTTAAATATTTTTAATTCAAGCAATGGTTTCAATAAAATTTGAAGGATGTAACTTTTGATATTTGCACTCTCAAATTCCTTATTTAATTAACGCTCTCTTATTAAATCTAAAATAAAAATACATTCATATGAGCAGACGGCAGAGAATTAACATTAATCTGAAATTTTAATTCTGAAAAAATTATAAAAATATTTTGAAACAGTAAAATTTTTGTGAAAATTATAATTAATTAAGTACACTTATTGCAATCATGAAAACACTTTTGATACTCACTACAAAAATTACCCACTCATCCTTAAAAAGATGACAAACTTGTAAAGTGGGATGGATTCGTTGAAGTGCTTGATGGCCAAGTAGTAGCCTTCTAAAATCCACTGTGGAAACTTTACCGAATTTTCCAGACTGACCATCATACCGATGCGAACTACAACGTCTGATGTTTCCAACGAGACGCCAAACGAGCAACAAAATAACAACGTTGTTGCTACTGAGACCAACCGCTCTGATGATCTCATTGTTTGAGAACTTCTTTTCTTACTTTCACCTAAATTTAGCGCTTAATTAGTTTTGCTATTTTGTTAGATAAATCTGAAAATGTTCTAGAAACAAATCTGATAGATAATATTTAACCATTCATAGCAGCACTAAGCGTTTGAAATTAATTGCTAAAGCACTTTCATCGTCTTAAATATTGGAATGAATGTCATAAATAAAGGATGATACTTGAGCGTCAACGCGTTTGTTGTGGAGAATATTGGAGGATGGATTGGTGAAAAAAATCAATGAGAGAGGAAAAGAAGGAAGATTCATAAACAACAACAAAGGAAGAATAAAAACAACACGATTGGATTGGCAAAAGACAAAAAATTGATTTACGGTTGACAATCATTGCATAGAGCCACCTTATTTCTTTCATCTTTCATCAGATCACGTTTGTGTTGTTTTTTGTGAAATGAACATGAAACTGAAATTGAGACCAATCAGTGAAACGATCCAACACGGCATGAAGCAACTGCACGAAAGGTTTTCACACGCGAGTGTTTTGCACCCATGTCGTGCAATCTGGAAATTTAATCTCAGGTATTTTTTATTTTAAATTTTGTATTTACGAATGGCAGATCCTTTTTTTCTGAGTATACTTTCACAATTGAGAAAATAAATTTTTTTTATATTTTCTGTTTTTTCAGACGCTTAACCACAATTTTTTTATAAGAAGCAGATATTGGGTAGAGACCTTTATTGCATTTTTCATATGAATGTTTTGAAGATTAAATCGCATCAAAAAATGGTCCCAATTGCCCAGAACCGCACAACGAATTGGGACGGTTAGAGATCAGAGGATTGGATGTTTAATGATTCAAAGATTCGACCAAAAGGCAACTGAAATTAAAGTTGACTAAAGTTTTGAGCCGCTGATATTCATAAAGAATAAAATGCGGGCCATGACGAAACTTTTACTGGACGTGCAACATGGTACCTGGGGCAAGTAATTCAGTTTTGTATAATGATATTTTAAATAGTAATGAATCAATATAATAAACAATGCAAACATTTTGTACAAATTATTTTATTTTTTTTCAAATTAAGAAAATTTAATAAATAAATAAATAAATTGATTTTTGATTGTCTGATCGATTGAGGTATTTTTTCGTTATAAAATCATTGTTTGATGTTTGTCCGAGTTGTTTTTAACTTAATTTTGTGGATAATTAAACTTCAACAGATTTTTAACCGTAACATTCACAATTTATTTCAAAGCGTGCTAGTTTAGCAAAAATGTCCGAACCAGTTTTTCAGCACTGCAATTAATGATAGCAAATAATATTAATTGATCACCTTAAACACCTGGTTCCACGATCAACATCGAAAATTCTTTTCCATCACAAATGATCGTCAGCTTTATTTTTATGGATGTCATTTTTTATAAATAAAATGTAAATTTTATGAATATTTTGCAATTTATGTTTCTATTATAAAATCTAAAGACTGAACGATAAAAATTATTTCTAAGAAATCTATTTCTTTGATCCATTCAACGTTTTTGAAACTGATCGCTTGTTATACATTATGAAAATAAATTGTCATAACAAAACCATTTTTTTAAATAAAAAATTTTAAGACCCATGCGTACGAGCCATTATATTGTGGTGATTTATGGAGATTGTGATGATTTATTTATTGCCACCTGGTTTGAATGCAATAAAATTCAATTCATAACAATCAGACAAGGACAATACCATGATTAGTTGAAAATGATGTTTTTCAACTTTTTGTTTTTTTTTTGCGAATACTGTGAGTGAATTTTTATATATTTTTTTATATAGGTATAATTAATTTTTAATTTTATTTAATTTCTGTAATTCTAAATCAGGATGTAAATTTTTTGAACTGTGTCAGAAAATAACCATTTAGGCAAAACGAAAGTATTCACATTTCATTATTAACGTGGTGGTGAGTATGAAAATGCTGATGAAGATAGCCTACTTGAATATTAATGTGCATGTTTTTGATTTCATCTTATTATCAAGAAATGAGCAGTCATCTGTCACCGAGTATGAGTAGTCAACTATTCTGAGCAAAACCAATTTTTTTTTGGACCAACCACCTGACCATTTCCTTTTCGAGGTTCACCTTTTTCGTATCATTCAGTATTTTTTTAAATGAATACATGAAAAATATTTTGTTTTTTTCCCTTAAAATTTAAATTAAACTTAAAAGTGAATACAATTCTAAACATGAAGCATGGATATTAAATGGCTTGAAAATTTAGCTTTAATAGTTTTTAGGTTTGAATATATATATATTTTATATATGTCCATGGCATGAAGCAAACGTGTTATACAATATAGAAGTGGATACACTGTTATTACGAGAGAAATTTATGGAGTGTTTGAGAGCTACCGGCCGTGTAACAAAATGTCGAACCACAAAATACGCAATCACCATTTAAATTCACTTAAAATATTTGTTTGCAGTAACTAAAACTTAGTCAAACAATCTTTTCCAATTTCCCATGTTGCCTTGGCGGCCACAAAATTTGGAGACTTGTAAAAATGTACCAATTACGGACCTCAAAATCATTTTAACATGCGTATTAACCATCAAACTGCTGTTTGTGGTTAAAAGGCTTGAAAATTTGTTTTTAAAAGTTTAATTTATTTGAATTTTTTTAGCAGAATTCTCAAAAAAAACATGATTATTTAAATTAAAAACTACATCCGCATTCAAAATTGAACGAATTTTCGTTTTTAAATTCCATAATCGCAATCTTCTATTGTCGATATTTAAAATTTGACTTCTTAAGTCTGGCGACTGTTATTGAAATTTGCATGAAAAATTTTGTTCAAAAAAATTTAACGCTAACCACGCTAAGACACAGTTAACAAATCAGTTAACCAACCACCGTAAAATTATCTTTTCTGGCCAGCATTTTTAAAGATTTTCCGGTGAGCTTAAAATTGTTTGTTAATTTTTATCAAATATCTGAAAAGAGAAACGCTGTGTCATTAGTTTTATGGGTGGCGTGATAGCGTAATGGTTAAAGGCGCCTGGTCCGCTATTGCAGTGGCTGGGATCGAATACAAAGAGATTCCCGCCTATTATTTGCAATGTGTGTGATGCGTGGTTTTCACGAGTTCGCTGTGTATGTCGTTGAGTAAAGAAAATATGGAAGGTACAGTGTAGTGTAGTAAAAGGAAATTGGCGGAAAATGTCGTATACTAAGAACTTTGAAAATAATCCTCTCGGAAATAGAATTATACCGGGAATTTAAAGGCCAGCAAGAAAAAAGTTCCCCAACTTTGTAATTTTAAATTCATCTCCTTCCCTCACGTCAACATTCTTCATCAGCCACTGTTTCTATCTGAGATTTCGTGAAAAGTTAATTTTATATTTTGTTTAGTTGTGAATGACGTATAGGCGTTTCAGGCATTTTAAACTTTTTTTCACCTGTTAAAAATAACTTGAATGGATTTTTAAATGGAGCTCATTCAGACTGCAAACATACTTCTTGATGAAAAGCTTAATTAGAATCGTTGATTAATTCAGTGGAGTATTTAAAAAACTCTTCGGCGATGCACGTCATATTGCGTAGGAAGAATAAATTTTTTTTAATTAAAATTTATCAATTAAAAAATTTTAAATGAAAAATAAATTTGATGAAATTGCGAATTTGTCGCTACACCTTCACGCTTTCCACACGGTGCAAATTAATTAAATAGGAAATTTATTTAGTTGAAAAACTATTTGCTTAATATAATTCAAAATTAAATTGAATAAATTGATAAACGCACTTGAGTCAGGCGATGAATGATTGCTTTTAAATCGTCGTTTTTCAGTTTTTAGAAATTTTATTGATTTTTCCTTATACATAATATCAAAGAAAAAATATAAATAGACAGTTTACGTGAAGGGTTTTCCAAAACAGACTACTTTGAAACGGAAAATTTAAAAAATGTCAATATTTAAAGTATTCTTCCCAGTGAGTTTAATTTTTGTAAAGTTGTCTTCATTAATACTAGATAAACCCATGCAGTTGGGAATGATTGTGAGCAGAGAGAACGAGAACAAATTTTCAGCAAACATGAATGAAGGCTTTTTGAAGGCTATTCAGCACAATGGAGGCAGGGCCAATATTACGTACAAGTCGGTTACGATGGTTTGATCTCATTTTAAAAGTTTTTTTATTTTATTCTTCTCATTTTTAGTTGAGTTGTGCGCTGTGTGCAGATGCCTAAGATAATTTTAAAATGAGAATTGTTAAAAAAGCAAAAGCTGATAAAATTAGAATAAGTTTCTGATATGTTTCCGGCATGAAAAACCAAAATATGTTATAAAATATTTAAATAAATCAGGGGTGGGCAAACTTTTTTGCTGGAGGGCCGCTTTAAGAACTGTTTTACTTTTGAAGGGCCGCATATGTACTTAAATAGCAAGTTTTTTCGACCTGAGGGAGAATTTTTTTAAGATTTATTCTTTTTTTGGTCATAATGTCTGGCTGACGCTGGCTGTCTGGCTGACAACCTTTTTTTTGGCGTAGAAGGCCTTGCGGGCCGCATAAAATAGGTTTGCAAGCCGTAGTTTGTCTTTCTCTTATAGTTAGTTTTATCTGTGACGTATATCAATGAAGCAACTCTTTGAGATCACATTTAATTAATACGATATATTTTATTTATACCAATAATGTGAAAAAACTATTTGTTTTGCAAAGAAATTTAAATTATTGCATTTTTATTTTGTGTTAAAGAACTAAATTTTTAAAGTACCAATCTGAAAGATATGAAAACACAACCTAACTTATTAGTCAATCACACACCCACACACACCCACACACACACACACACACACACACACACACACTTGCGACAGTTTAGTTTCAACAGTTGTGGACGTGTGTGACGGAGTCAGCGGTGCCAGGGCAGTTTTGTTCCTCCGCCTCAACCAGTCTGTTGACGCCGTCTTTGGATCTTTTTGCTCAGCCAGTCAGTTTATCGCTATAGTAAAACTATTCCTGTTGTATTTTTGTCATGTAGCCCTGGCTTTAAGCCAAACTCATAGCATATCCTTATATAAGTGTAGTAAAACTTCACAGTAACATCCACACCCCATGATGTATACATTTTCATGCACGCGCAAGCACCGCATCATACATGCATGGCGTCTTTGATTTTTGAACGTGATAGTATTCGAACCAGGTCATCTCGCGTTTACAACGCTGAACATTGCACTTCTACCGACTGAGCTAATTTTCCGATTAATTAAACTATCAAACAAGTAATTAATGAAATAAAACGGACGACTAATTTAAGTTAAAATTCCTAAAACTCTTCCACCCATATGCGATAAAGACTGCCTCTCCAGCGCTCAGGTGGCGGACTACTGGGACCTGCCCTACTTCGCCACTGAATGCATCGACCCTACTCTGGACAACTCCTCCATCTACACAACATCAATCCGGCTCTATGGCTCGCTCACGTCTTATGGGTCGGCTCTCTTGGCTTTCTTCGCGCGCAACAATTGGATGAATTGCGCTATCGTTAACGAAATGAACAACGATTTCTGTAAATATGCCATGACTGCGATAAAGAAAAAGTTTGATGGCGCTGTAAGGGTAAGTGAATTTCTGGAAGTGAATAATTTCTTTCCTGACGGTGAAATGGCAATTATTTTGAGCAAGATTTCCTTTTCTGCTAGAAGTTTGTGTTGTTTTTCGAAATATTGTTTTTAATATTTTATAACTTATATCGTTCCTACTTTTTGCGTTAGGTTGTAAGATTGTGATATATATTTGTTAGTATCGGTGTCAAACATTTTTACTATATTATTAAAGTTATTTTTTTAAATTTTTAAGCTGTGTTTTAATAAAAAAAATTCATTTTTATTTTAATATTTTATTATAATTATGAAATTATATGAATAACTTAAAAAAATATACAACCCACCACAGTAATTATAGTCTGTCACAGCAACGCAAGCACACTGGCTAGTCTCATGAGATCGGCCTATAGACGAGGCATGACCGACCCGAACGAGTACGCATGGATTACTCTGTACAATGTTTACTACAAATTCGACTTCAACATGCTCTTCATACCCTGGTTTGTCACCAACGACAGTTTAGCGAGGGATGAACTGATGCAAGCCTTCCTGTCCGTCAAAGCTGTTTGTCGTAATGTTAACTGATGATGGAAAATTTATTTTGATGGTTATGGTGGAGTTGAAATTATGTTTGATGATGTGTATTGTATTCAAACATCACCAGAATCAAGCGAGCTTGCCAGATTATGACGACGTAATCTTAGCTATGTTGAATAAAAAGTTTATAAAAAAAAATAAATTTATTATTTCCATCATAACTTTGTTTAATAACGTAATTTGGCAAACTTGAACCAGTTGTTTTTGACAAATAAAAACAAATTTCACGGCCACTCACTCACTTTTCGACAGCTGACGTACAAGAACTACACCCGCCTGCCTGATCCCAACACAAATTTAACTCGAACCATCACCTCTAAGACTCTGCAGCTGGTTAAGTAATTCAAAATATTATTAAAGTTAAGAAACTGTTGATATTAATAAGTTAATCAGAACGATGGATTTTGGATTTATTGTAATGCACGTTAAATATAAGCCAAAAAACAAAATAATAGCATTGAATATTAACATACAAATATACACGCCAATTTTTTTATTTAGGACATCCTGGCAGATTCAGTTTATTTATATTTCACCCTGGTCATTGAAGCCATGAGAAATGATGAAGATCCGTTCAGTGGGAAGAACATCCTCAACCTTAGTCGAGGAAAGGAACTAGAAAATGGTACTTCAGCGGAAATAAATGAATGAATTTGTGAATTCCCGTAACAATTAAAAGATTTTTTGCGAATGCTAATTTAGTCTATGTATGTTTGTAATGAAAATTGTATTAAAATTAAAATGGAATGGACAAAATCTTGTTTTAGATCTTAGACCAAAACTGACTCAATACCCATTTATAATTTTGTTATATATTCATATTGATAAAATTAAAGTTATGAGATGTAACAAATTTTTCAGGTGCCACTGACAAGATAACAATGAATTTAGACGGAGATAGACTGATGACTTTCACAGTCTGGTCTCTCTCTCGCGACTCATCCATGTTCAAACCCTACCTCAACATCAATATCACAGATGGAAATTATACGGTATGTGTAGATTTTATTTTCATTTTAGCCTTCACTTCAGACAATTTGTAAATACTTTATACTTAATTTTTATTTAAGGGTTTGTTTCAGGTTTTATTCTTTTTTTATTTTTTATTCAGCCGATTTTGGTGGGCCGTGAAAGGTGGGGCCTTTCCAGTAGGCCCCCTCTTGACAGACCAATTTGCGATTATGACAACAAGTATTGCAAAAACGGTTAGCAGATTTGAACTATTTTTAAATTCTGCGTTTATCTTATTTTATATTTTGCTGTTTCTAGTTCTGATTATTTAATGAATTCTTTGCAATAAAATTATGAATAAGTCTTCAAATCAAATCATTGTTCTAATGAAAAAAGTTTGAACGATTTCAGATGGACAGCCACTCATTATCGGCATGGTTGTTTTCTTCGTGCTTCTTTTTATCATACTGATCATCTTCTTGGTCATCAGGTCAGTTAGTTAAATTATCATATATGCCGCGATGGTGTAATGGTTAAGGTGCCTGAAATTGTGGACGCAGCGTCCGGGTTCGAATGTAAAAAATCCCCGCTTGTCACATATAGAAGTGTGTAATGCGTTGATTTTCGTGTGTTCATGCACCGTGTGTTTGTTGTAATAATATTAATGGGTTTCAGTCGTTTGCCATGGCGCTATATAAAATCACAATGACATTATTATTTTATGTCAAAGTGCATAAATTGCGAAAGAAGTTAACAGTTTTTAAATAATTTGATCGTTTAAACTATTCGAATGATAATCACATGAAGATCGTTTGTAGTTGAACAGAAGATTCAAAACATGCTCTGGAAGGTGAAATTCAGTGATTTGGAATTCTTCAAAAAGAACATGAACGTATGTTGTTGATTACATTGAAACTATTAAAAAATTATATTCCTTAAAAGCACTACACAGATCTAAATAAAAAAATTTGTAGATTCATTACTTTACTTCTTAAGTGAATGACATTGTTATTCACGTAAAATCGATAAATTCAAATGTTTTTACTGTTATTTCCTATTCTGCCGATCTAGCTAGTCTATCACATGTTTATACTATCATCAGATCATGAATCAACCTGACAAAATCAACTGTTTAAATTTTTGTATTTCATTTTTTTATGAAAAACAAAATTTAAAAAAACTTACTTACTACAAACACAAACACACACATGTTAACAGTTGAAAGGCATGCCGAAATCATCATTGCTGAACATAACGGGCGAGCGAACGTTTCCTCACTCATTCAGGGACTTCCAGGACACCGCCGACACTCAAGGGGTCATGGTGGCCCTCTATAAAGAAATGTTGGTAACTGTGAACTATTCCAGCAAGACGGAGGTTGATCTAACTAAAAAGGATCTGGTAGAACTGGTCAAGGTAGGAACTGGTCTCAGGTTGATTTCATAATGATTCTTATGTGGTGTAGATTTTTTGGAATGCCAATAACTCTGCCAGTGTTTTTCAAATTAGAAATCAAACAGCATTATGCTGATAACGCAAAAATTGTGTCCATAATATGTGACGGCTATGCTATGTTTTAATGACTCTATGGTAAAAAATTGAATGATGTTCAGTTGATGATGTACTGGTGTTGGAATGAGGTGTAAACTGACTGACATGCTCGTCTTAATGGTCTCTAAATATCGCGTTTGTTGGTTTGAGAAATTTCGTCTAGAATTCGCTTTCATCAAAATCATTTATTTTTTATTTAAAATAACTTATGGTTAACAAAATTTAAAATTATTGAATTATTACATCAATTCATAAAGGCATTTTCAACTGATTTTCAACAGATGAAAGACCTCCAGCACGATAACATAATTCATTTCATTGGAGCTTGTATTGAAACCGACAGAATTTGTTTTCTAACTCAATACTGCTCTAGGGGTTCCTTGCAGGTTTTTTAACATTAAAATTTATTTCAACTCTTTTCCTCTTCAAAATTAGCAATAATTATTTTTAAATAAAATAGTATCCAGTTTTAGTTTTCGAAGCATGAATGAAAGTTTAGATAGTATTAGTTTGGTTTATAATTTTAAAATTGTGACATAAGCAATAAGTGAATAATTGAAAATGTTTTATTAGCAGTCCTATAATGATATTTTATTCTGACTCAAAACAGTCTATCAAACGTAGCAAAAAATTAGTTAAATATTTGAAAAACATCACATGAAAAGACATAATTATTATAACCAGGTACATAAAATTATTTTTATTAAATGTCTCCGTGGGTCTCAAACTTACATAGTTATCATACAGTGCCAGATTAACACAGTACAGTATTAACAGCCAGATTAAATGATGACATTTTTAGCACACAATTTAAATGTTAGTTTAAATTTTAAAAAGAGTTGAATCAACAAGAGTGATTACGTGCTAACAGAATGTGGATTCAACATTGTTAATAATATTTTAATAAGTTATCTTAATAATTTATAATTATATTTTATAACTACAATTAATTTATTATAAATTTATTGTAAGCAAAACATCGTACAACCCAACATTCTGAAGGACATGTTGGCTGATGTTCAAACTCCAATCGACTGGACGTTCAAGCTGTCATTCATCACTGATTTGACGAAGGCTTGTCGAGATGTTTAAATCTACAGCAAAATTAAAAAAAAAAATAAAATAAAGATTCAATAATTTTCATCCTTTATAATTTTTTTGTAGTTTTGGTTGATGTCGATAACGAGTGCTACAACAGTAGGTTAAAAAGCGTTCATAAGCCATTGACAAGGAAAATTTAGTTCTATCTTAAAAATTTCAAAGAATAATGACCACATTTTCAACAACAATTGAATAGATGTTATTCACGTTATGATTGTACCGCAGGGTTTGAACTACTTGCACAAGTCCTTCATTGGGCAACATGGAAGTCTGACCAGCAATGTTTGCCTGATTGATAATAGGTTGCCGAATCGTTGTGGTTGTTTGAATTCACGATATTATTAACGTAGTGTAGACTTGATTGTAAATTTTTCATGATGAAGAAAATAATAATCGAATTCATTTCAAGACGTTTTAAAAATGTGTGTACATATTCACATTATTATAAATTAGTATGGAGAAAAATTAACTTTCCAGTCTTAATGAAAGCAAACATTAAAAGTTTTAAACTAAATCTGGTTTAGAAAATGCTAAATAAATGTGATTCAGCACTCTAGCCATTTCAATGAGACACTGACATTCCTATTTTCAAATTTTAGGTGGGTTTTGAAAATTTCGGGTTTCGGGTTATCACCATTTCGATCGGAGGTGAAAGTTGACGATGAAAAAAATTACCGGGATTTTCTGTGGATGGCACCTGAACACCTGAGGTCATCTCATACAAGTCAGTGTGGCTGCTGGTGACGATGTCTGTAATTTATTAACTACTTTGAAATTAAAAAACGATGGTAAATCATTTTGAGATTGAAAGTCTAACACCATCCATTAAATGTATATAAATTAATGAGTATGCAAATTATTTCAGAAAAGAGTCAGAAAGGAGATGTCTACAGTTTCGCTATTGTTCTGTACGAATTAGTTTTTAAATGTTCGCCCTATCAGTCATTTGATTTGGGGTACGAAGGTTTGTATTTATCGAATTTATTTAAAATATGGCAATGTTCATAATTTCAAAATATTATTTGGATATATAAAGTTTAAAAGCATTTATAACCATTATCGGCAATGAAAATTTATTACTATATTAAAAATTGCAAAAATTAATATTCTTTTTTTTTCAGAATTATTTTGATTTAAATGTTTGCCATGAAAGTTCATCGTGAAACAAATGTCCTAACAGACATTATAACGCGTGTCCACAACTGCCGCGGTGAACCATTCCGTCCGAAGTTGCACTCTTTGAAAGAGTCAGACACCAACCCGGCTGTGTTGAGTCTTCTGGCGCTATGCTGGGCCGAGGATCCGAATGTTCGCCCGGCCTTTGACGTCATTGAGAAGACGGTGAAGACCTTTCATAGCGGGAAGTTTGATTTTTTTTTGTTTTTATTAAATTAAAATATCCATAACAATCATAGAACTTTTTTGAATGATTAGCAGTTATAGGTTTACAAAATTAACCCAATCATTGTCACTGTCGAGTATTGTTTATTGAATGAAGAAAAAAACACGTTGTCGATCAATTTTATCCAGAACAGACAACATTGTCGACAGCATTTTGAAAAAGTTGGAGAAGTATGCAAACAATCTGGAGTTGGTTGTGGAGCAGAGGACCGAGGAGCTGGTTGAAGAAAAGAGGAAAACGGATATGCTTCTGAACAATATCTTGCCACCGTTACTATTTATTTCCATGCTATGCGTAACCATCCTTCGCTATATAAATAAATTAATAAGATATTTTAAATGCGAGGTTTTCACAGCAAGCGTTCTCCAATTTATCAAGAAAGTGAGGCAACACATACCCATTTGCATACGTATTAAAATAAAAATAATTTGCAACAAAACACGCGTAGCAACACGTCGAATGTTGGTCTTACAACCATGGAACATATTTTTCATGAAATTATACATCTACCTAGTTCTTTAAATTTTTATCAGTTTCATAGCGGAAGAATTAAAAGCTGGTCGTAAAGTTGAGCCAAAAATGTACCAGAGTGCCACGTTGTATTTCTCAGACATTGTTGGATTCACGACGTTGTCATCTGAGAGCACTCCCATGCAAATTGTGGATCTGCTTAATGATCTCTATGGAGCATTTGATGATACCATCTCCAAGCATAATGTTTACAAGGTTGAAGATTTTTCACTTTGTAAATTGAGCACTGAACCAATTTTTGATAGAAGTAGATGAACTCTTAGGTTGAGACGATAGGAGATGCGTACATGGTTGTGAGTGGTCTGCCTCAGGTAACAGAGCACCATGTCGTGGAAATATGCAACATGGCATTGGATCTGCTGGGCATCGTCAAGACCTTCAAGATCAGACATCGGCCTGAGATGACACTCATGTTGAGGATTGGCATTCATTCTGGACCTTGTGCTGCTGGTTCACCCGTTTTCACTAACCTCTCAAGGTTGTATGCTAAATGGTCCTAAAAATTTCAACAGGAGTGGTCGGTCACACGATGCCTCGCTACTGCTTGTTTGGTGATACGGTCAACACCGCATCCAGGATGGAGTCAACTGGTGAAGGTTGGTGTTTTCAAATATAGGTACTACACTTGAAGAATATTTATGAATAAAAAAACTGTTTTAATATTGTTTCGTGGTTTCTCACAAAATTAATAACAAATTCAAACAATCTAAAAAAAACTATAAATTAATCTGGATAAATCACTTCAAAATAATAAAACTTCAAAGCCCTCAAAATCCACTTGAGCACCCCAGCCAGAGATCAACTCCTCCAGTTTCCAGGATACCTCATCGAGTTGAGAGGTCCCACTGAGTTGAAAGTAACTTTTGACATTTATTCATATTTTGCATTATTATCAACATTCAACTGTTTCAAAAATTCAAAAATAATATAGGCAAACGAACGAATATATTTATTTCAAGTAGAGTCAAAAAATATTATATAAAAATTTTCATTACACAATGATATCATATTTCAAAGTTGATTGATGTAATATAAATTTTTTTCTAGACTCTTTAATATTAAAATTTTATTCAAATTAAAATTATTTTTCTTCGCTGATATAAAGTTAATTTAATAAAAATAATTTTTCTGTTCTATAATTAAATTTTTTGGTTTGAACATTTAAAACTGTTTCAATTATTTCTGAAAGGGTAAAGGAACGATGGTAACGTATTGGTTAGTGGGAAAAGATGGAAGAAACGACACCAAATAATAAACACTCAACTTTCCTATCTCCATCCTTAGATAAGATTAAGTTTATACATTTGTAGTAGTTATTTCTATTGCGTTGTAAATACGTTTACAGTCCGTGTGACGCTTTAAAAGTATTTTCTAATTCACCACAGTCTTGCGTATTGTTAAAAATTGTCATTGTTAAGTTTTAAGTTTTATATTAAAACATTATGACTTAAAATATACATTTATTTTTCTTTGGACCAAATGTTCTTTGCTTTGTATGTAACTTCACTTTTTCCTTTTCTGTTGATCCGGTGGATAATAAACAAGTAGAGAACGTTGTTTGGTTTATTTCTCTTCTTTTAATGTCTTTCAATATTATATCAATTAATTAAACGATCTACGTAACAAGAAATTTAACAGGTTACGGGACCCAGATAACGTTTTTTTTAATTGATTTGACGAAGAAAATTTAGAATAAAGAAATATAATAAAGAAAATAATAAAGAAGATTCCTTTGAGTTTGTGAAGACTGAAGTGAAGAAAAAACACGTGCTTCTTCATTTTCTGAAAGTCGATATTTTGCGTCTAATTAAAAGGTCAAATTGAAAGACAAGGAAGCAATGGATCTAACAAAAGTGCAGATCAAACACCTAGAAGGCAAAAGTAATTGGTTGAACTGGAAGTCGAGAGTTTGTATAATACTATGTGGCATTCCTGATGCAATGGACGTAGTAAATGGCAAATTAAAAATTTCAGATGAATTAAACGATGACTCAAATAAAGATGAGATAGCAAAATATCAAACTGCTTTGAACAGATTCAATAAAGCAGATTGTAGTGCTATGATTATTCTGTCAACCAACATGACCGATGAAACGTATGAAAAAGTTCGTTCATTCAGTAATGCCAAGGATGTTTGGTTAGAACTTCACAGATTGTATGATGAAGTTAATAAAGATAAAGCATACAACTTATGCATGAAGTTCTTCAGTTATAAAATAGATGAAAGCGATGATGTTGTCACTCATGTCACAAAACTCAAGAATCTTTGGAAAGATTTAAAGGTTGAGTTAGGAAAAGATGAAAACAGTGACTTGTTGCTGATGAGCCAAATAATTGAAACTTTGCCAGAAAAATATTTTTCATTTGCTGCAAGTTGGAGATTGTTGAACAAGACTGAAAGAACGGTCGAAACACTCACAGATCAACTGTGTAGCTATGAGAGATCTTTGGAAGGCAAAACAGAATGTAATAAAGTATTATTTGTCAAAGCAACAACTAAAAGGTCATCATCACTAAACATGAATGGTCAAAAACAAGATAAATTTGTCAGCAAACCAAAGCGACTGATATGTCATTATTGCAAATTGCCAGGTCCCATTCTGATGGTAGACCAGCAAAACCAAGAAATAACAATCTACGCGATGACAATAAGAAATCACTAGTTGTTATGAAATCAAGTGTTTTTGCAATTGATGAGTCAGCGTACACTGATGAATGGTTTTTTAACAATGGTGCAACGTGTCATCTAACTTTCCGAAGAGACATATTTCAAAGTTTTGAAAAATTTTCTCAACCGAGTAAATTATATGTTGCAAATGGTGATACTGTAGAAGCTTTTGGAAAAGGAATTATTCATCTTCAAGTGAAAGGGGAATATAAATGGTAAACTGTTAAACTTACAGTATGTTCCAAAAGTAAAAAGGAAATTTTTCTCAGTACTTGCAACTCAAAAATAAAACAGAAAATGCTCTTTTGTTTCAACCTCAAGAAGTTGTCATCCTACTTATTGACAATGTGATAATGTTTGTTGAATTAGAAACAACAATGGGGGTTTTGTCAAAACTGGTTCAAAAACTGTTTGGCCGTTGAATTCTGAAGTCGAAAGTAACTTTGTTCAATGTTCAGATTCATTGCAGTTATACCATGAAAGAATGGGACAACAGAATAAGAAACATGTTAAAATGCATCGATCAAGAGATGTTATTTTTGATGAGAAGGTTGTCAAACCAAATTCAGTGATTTTGCAAAAAGAAAGTTGTTCAGATGATACAGTTTCGATTGATGTTGAAATCAAAGATGAAAATAAAGAAACTTTGATTAAAGAAAATATTTCAACTGATGAAGATGTTCACAACCGTAGTTCAGTTTTATCTGATGAAGAAGATCAATCTGACTGTTGTAATCAAAAGACCAAAGGTATGGTTTTACGTGACAGGAATAATATCAAAAGGCCATCTCGTTATGATCCTTTCGTTATGTCTGCATTATGTGAAGTACTTGAACCAGAGAGCTACAAAGATGCCATTCAAAACATTTAGGTTAAGGTCATCTAATGTTTTAAATAAAATGAGAAGGTGTTAAGTTTTAAGTTTTTTATTAAAACATGATTATTAATATACATTTATTTTTCTTTGGACCAAATGTTCTTTGCTTTGTATGTAACTTCACTTTTTCCTTTTCTGTTGATCCGGTGGATAATAAACAAGTCGAGAACGTTGCTTGGTTTATTTCTCTTCTTTTAATGTCTTTCAATATTATATCAATTAATTAAACGATCTACCTAACAAGAAATTTAATAGTCATTGACGTTGATTAAGTGATATTGTAGAGAAGAAATTATACATAAATTGGTAGAGTGACTTAATACTCATTAAGAAATCAATTAACTGTATGTTTTATTTTAATTATTGAAATGGCTTTTACAAAACGATCCACTAAATAAGAACGGCATAACCTACTCACACCTATGTTTTTATGAGTTAGAATCTAATCACACTCCTACAGCTATTGCGATCCTAATTATTTATTATTTTTTTAGCTTTCTTTTTCGAAAGCTGTGCAGAATTTGAAGTGTGATTACAAGATGTTTTGTCAGCATTTGAATGAAGCAGTTATACATTTTAGCGTGAATTAAATGGCTATAAAATGTTAATCTCCAGCAACTTAGTAACCTTAAAATACGAATTTTTTCACGATTTTAATTTGTAAGATCGTATCTTTGAGTTAATGGGTGGAAATAAACTTACAATGTGTCTAATTGTCTGTAATTACTGCTAGTGAATGCTGATGAATAGTTGTGGGAATGATGCTATTCATACGTACTATCTTCTTGAATAAATGTTTTAAAAATCGGGGCTCCATAATAATCGTAAATATTGAATCATATATAAGAAATTGAACCACCATGTAGAGGTTCCCAGCACTAATTGTAATGATTGCGCGATGTCAATTCAATTCAACAGTCGTTTCCATTTCCAAAGTGAATGTAATTGGAAGAACACGATGGAACTATTAATTCCAGTATAAAACATAAATGGCATTACATAATTCTAAAACAAGATTGATAACTCCAAATGATTAAATTCAACTGAAATAAGTTTTTGGTTATTAAAATAATCAGATATTAAAAGACAGACGAATAGTTGGAAATGTAAACTTATTCATTTCATGCATTTTAATTAACATTTCAGTGTAATGTAGTTATATTATTCACGCAAACATAAACGTTTAAACATATGCACACGCGTGCAGGGCACATTGTATATTTAAATATAATAGATGATTTTGTATGAAATATAGATAGATATGGATATGTATATATATACAAGTATAAAAAAAATAAATCAATATAAATATATATAAATATATATATATATATATATAAATAAATATATATATATAAATATATATATATATATATATATATATATCCTGTATGATGTTTGTATGATTGTTCATGGGTTTGACTTTTTTTATCTTCATCTTTCTACGTTGATTTCACTTGAGAAATCGTTTGGAAAGCATTCTTTACAAGGAAACAACAGTGTATAGTTTCGCTTGATTTGTTGAGCATGTTTGGAACTAGTTTGTGAAATTTGGCTTCATTATTTCAATTTTTGAAAACTTTTGTCACTGTTTTATCTTCAAAAAACCAAACGTATCTTATTTTCAATTATTCTAGGGCCCATCTGCTGTTTTTAGTGAATAATTTTGAACACAGAGCATCTTCATGTCATCATCGTAGAAGTTGTCATTTTCAGCAAGTCTGCTGCATATATACCAACGTCTGCGTTTGGATTATCTTATTAAAAGTGTTACTTCTACTGAAACATAACTTACATAAAGTTCAATGAAACATAACTGAAATAAAGTTCAATCTCGTCGTCAGTTCACATTTTAATAAATCTAGCATCATGTTGGAGTCTGTTTCTAATATAAATTTCCTTCTTTCATTTTCTTTGTTCTTCCATCTCTTCTCATACTCCTTTATTTTCCACTTATCATCTTCATCAACCTTAACATCCTTATTTTCTTCTTTATTTTTAGTATCATCTTTTTTCTCTTCAACAACAGCCACATCATCACCACCGTCACCATCACCCAACACCGACAACCTCCTCATTGGTATGATATCTAGCAGCAGCAACATAAATCTTGTAGAAACAGTTTTGGGAAACGGATATTCTCTCGCAAGACAGGAAAATATTTACAATGGAACTTATAAGTTAGTACTTTTGTGAGACCCCAGCAGTTCTCAACCGTCGGGTGTCGGATGATGATATGCCAGGAATCGCCTAAGATCATCAGAAAATTTTAATTTCAGAAAATTTTCATTTTATTGTACAATTTGCTTTTAATTTTTGAATGTAGATTATATGTGCCTGCAATAACTCAAATGGGCAGAGTTGTTGGAGTCGGAAATTTTTAAGGGGCCGTATTTTTTTATCTGACCCCGGAAAATATTACTTAGAAAAAAATCACATATAATGATTTTAAGTGTTTTTTTAAGTATTTTTTATTTAGCGGTTATAATATAGTATGATTTGTTCAGTATATTTTAAAACATAAAAATAAAGTAATTTTACTAAGAGAAACAATTAAAGTAATTGATTTTAAGATTTTTTCAAAGTTTTTTTTTATTTAGTAATGATAATCAAATGAAATTATAACGCAAAAGTTTAAAATATTTTCTGGAAATTGGAACCCGTATTCAAAGTTGGAAATTTTTACCCGGATTCGGAGTCGGATTTTTTTGAAGGACCGGATTCGGAGTCGGATGTTATTCATCCGACTGCGACAGACTGGCGAATTTACGAAATTTGTCATACTGACGGTTGGGTTTGCTACACTTGCAAGATGTTTATTCATAGTCAATTTTGATGTTGTTCGTGAAACATGTAGACTGAGAACAGCGATGCAACAAAAAATGATCTTTCTTCAATGTCAGTTACACAATTTTAGATCATGCGTTTGTAGCTACATGCTGTTTGTCTAAAAATTTTTGGGTTTTCTTTTTTATTTTTTTTGCATTTATTACTGGATATCTACACATGGATTCAAACAAATAATTAGTTTTACTTTAATTTAAAACGTTGAATTATTATTACTAAATTTACAAAACATTCTGATAAATGTGCACAATCTATCATTAATTAGAGCAATGTTTCGTGTGTTGGACGCGTGTGATGGCATGGCGAGTATGAGGGAGACGCTCAACCTCATTCAAAACGATTCCGTGAATGTCATCTTCGGAGCTCTTTGTTCAGCTAGTTTGTGTCCTTTTTAATGTTTCTTAAACTTACTTATTGTTGTTCTAATGTCTACAGTGTCGATAATATTACTCAAAATTTGTATGACCGATCAACCAATTCAGTTTCTAAGTAAATAAAATCTACCAAAATAGTCTATTCATTATTAATAGAAAAGTTTCAGTTTTCCCATCAACATTAACGTAACTACATTGTTCAGATTGCATTGCCACAGCCCAAGCTGCTAACTACTGGAACATTCCATACTTCCCTTTGAACTGCTTCGATCCGAGCCTCGATGATTCCAATCTCTATTCGACAATTGTTCGATTCTTTGGCTCTCTGACATCATTTGGCGCATCGTTTGCAGCATATTTCAAAAGGTATCAGTGGGAAAACGTCGCCATCATGATAGAAAGTGAAGCAGACTTTTGCGATTCCGCTCTTAATGCCATTCAATCTTCATTGAGAGGAGACATGGTGACGGTGGCTGAAATCGTGCAATTGCCAGCTGACATCAGCTCTTTGGATGCTTCGGTTTTTTTAAAAATTCGTCGCTCAGCTCGAAGTTTGTGTTAAATGTAACTTTGTAATTTGATGTTTAGAATATTTAAAAAAATGACAAGTAATTGATATAAATGTGTTTGAAAACACTACCTAACTTATTATTGTTTTCAAAGTTTTTTTTATCAGTTGTTCAAATCAAGTCAATAATTTAAAATTTGAATGTTGATAGCGAATTAACCTCAATTTTATTAAAGTTTCCGTTTCAACTTTTTTTTTGCAGTAATTATCGTCTGCCATTCCAAGCCTGCTGCCCTGAGACAGATTATATTTTTCGCACAGGATCTTGGAATGACTGATCCAAGTCAATATGTCTGGATCACTTTCTATAACATCTACTTAGGTAGGTTTTTTAAAGTTGTACTTTGCGTTGTTTTGAATTAGATCTGCATTGCAAAAATAATTCTAATTTTATTTCTATAAAGCATATACTTTGAAATTGTTATTGCTAAACTTGTTGAAATGTTTATTCATAAAGGTAATTTCTTAAAAATAAAATAAAAGTTTGGCTGTTTATAGTCTCAAATATTTCCTATAACTTATGTTCGTTATTTCATTTATGACTGGCATTCAAAATATTGTCATTAATGCTTTAATTTAAATAAGAAGATGACAGACATGATTCATTGCTATAAAACTATTCAAGGACTTCCATTTGATGTTCTGCTCCAACCATGGTCAGCCACAAACAACAACAACCAACCTGACGATGACCATAGGAGGAAAGCCTTTCTCGCCCTCAAAATTGTAAGGGGATGAAATTTGTTTTGTGTTAAATAGTTTATGTTTTTTGTCAACAATTTTATATCTTGTCATCAATTTTTTATCTGACTTTTTATCAACTTTGGTTATCATTTGTTAGTACATTGATGATACATTATTATTAACCTTTGCACCGCGAAACAGATAACGTACAAAAACATGACAAATATTTCCAACATTGCTGATGACGCTACTCAAGTAATTTCATTCACATGAATAAATTTAATAAATAAAGTTTGGAAAATAAAAGTTTTATAGATAGTTATATTATGCAAGTTATATATACGAATATGAACACTTTAAAAAGTATTGTATAGCAATAAGACTAGTCAGTGAACTTTTATTGTTATTGAGTCAGTAAATGATGTGAACCATGAAGTTTTGGGAAATAATGATGCGGCAAGAGCTTCACGTTTTAATGTTTCTTAGAATTTCCTAAACAAAATGATTTTAATATAATACCTAACAGTCACTGGATGACATATTCTACCTCTACCTGGTGCTCAGGAATCAAACGTTGAGTTCAAACAAGGATCCAGAGAGCGGATCCAACATTCTCAACTCTGCGAAATCAAATGAAATTATTGGTAAGTGGAAAAATAAATATTAATCAATAAATTGTAAAAAAAAGAACCGAAATGCTTTCAATGTCTTTTTCATGATTGAAATGCTGAATTAAGGCGATAACTTTAACGCGAGAAATAGTTTACGATGTCATTTGATCAACGAACAATAATTTTATTAAAAATTAATTCGTTAAAAAGTAATTAAAATTAATAACTAAGTTGAGTATTTAAATAGAAAGAAAAGATATTGATTGATTTAGTGAGTTTCATTCTAGTTGAGACGAAAAAGAACAAAAGAGTGAGCTAAATTAAAATTCAAATAAACAGGGATAGGAGACAAAGTCGAATCGATCAGGAAGCCACAAGATATTATAGTAGATAAATTGAAAATGATTGAATTAATCATTTTTTTATTTATTTGACTTTTTATATGCAAAAAAATTTGCAAACACTTTTGATAGTAACTATAATACACAATTAAAAAAATAATTATAAATATTTATTTATTTTTAAGATAATGAAAAAAAAAGTAAATGAAATTAGATAAAAGCGAGACCTTGAAATTCAATCCGGATGGTGACCGACTGATGAACTTTTACGTTTGGTCGCTGGCTCCTGGAGCTACCACATTCGGTCCCTACATGGAAATCAACCTGACTAACGAAAGTACATATTCGGTGGGTACAGGTTTATTTTTGTATTATCAGATGTGAAGTTGTACTTTTTTTGTGGAAATGTAGTTGGGTGATTAAGGGCTGTGGTAAACTTATATGGTGGGCTATTAGTAATGTACCATGTACTGGTTTTCATTGAATTTAGATTATTTTAATTATAAAACAAGAATGACACAAATTAAAAATAAAAATTCAATTACTCCTGAGGCTTTAAAAGGACTTGTTATCTCAGCTGAAACTTATTAAACAAAACCATCTCCAGCAATCACCATGAATATATATTTTATTTAAAAAATAATATCAATTAGACATATTTATTTTTTAAATTAATTTTACTCTATTTATGATGCACCTGTCATCTCTATGATACTATTAAAATTTTTGAGAAAGTTTTCATTAAAATTTTATTGTAATCGTCGTGTTCATCATCATAAATTCACCCCACGTGCGTCGCTTCAATGAATCGGATTTATTGAAAATATTAGAAAGCGGAAAATTAATCACCATAAAATGCTGATGTATGCATGGGGCTCCAAGTATTCATTAACCTCTCCTTCCATTTAATAATTATCGTTGCACTCCATCTAGCAATGGCACCTGCGTCATCTTTTGAACAATGTTTGAAGAAAAAAATAACCATGGCCACTTAGGTTTCACGTGAAAGAAGTTCCATTTTATGTTTAATTGCAGCTTCTGAGAGAAAATCTAAAATCTTGAATGATGACTCTTTAAAATGAAAAAACAAAAAAATTGAATACTTTCATATTCACACACAAAGTGATTGTTGTAAGCGGGGGTCTCTTTGCAATTAAATCTGGTCAATGCAATAGCGGTGCCAGGCACTTTGCCGCTACACTATCGCGCTGACCAAATGTTTGTAAAATGTTAGTTAATTTTCTTGTATGAAATTTTATGAAAATAAATGATTTTTTCTAAAATTCAGACATACACGATCGGTTATGAAGCATGGACGACTGACAACGAAGTCCCGAAAGATACCCCAGACTGTGGATTCGAAAATGAATACTGCATCCAATCGCTAAGTGAAAGATTTCATTATTTGAGAAAAAATATTCATTTCACTAAATTTTATTGTTTTCTTTTACATCTACGTTCATTTTAAAAATAACACAAGTTTATAGAATGAAAAAAATGAATTTAATGTTTTGTAGAGTAGAGGTATATAGAGGCAGGTAGGATTGTTTCGTGGCAAACTTCATTACATACAAAATCTTTCCAGATAACACCCGGTTCTTTGTTGCCCTGGCAGTCATTTTCGTCGTATTCCTCCTTGCGACGTTTGTCTTTTACGTCATTCGGTGAGTTGAGATTTAAAAAAAATTTTGGTATTGTTTTTTTACTAAAAATTGTCAATTTTGTCCTCAAATTGTAACATTCATAAAAGCGGAACAACTTACCATTTGTTCAATTTGTCTGCAAATAAGTTTGCTTTGCAATTTAGGATCTGTAGGCCATTCAGACTCAAAAGATATTTGCAAGACCACACAAGGCGTAAGGTGTCTAAGGGCGTACAATTTGTACAAAGGCGTACATACCTACACTTTGAGCTAACTCCAAAATATGTCGCGTACATCAACGTTGTGACTGACAAACGTAAAACGCTCGTAAAAACACCGATAAAAATACGCATTGCATATACAATACAGAACGGTGATCTCTGAAAGAAAAGTTTTCAAAATGTCCTGGAAGATCGAATTCAATGAATTGCAATTTCTCGTCGAAGCAAAAAGTGTGAGTGAGAATGTGGTTAACAAATATTTGGATTAAAATAAAATATTTTTCAATATTTGTTCTCGTTGTATTAGTCAGAGCTACGCACGCAGACTGGGCACCAACGCATCATATGCTCTTGTGTATGATGGGGGGATCTTTAGAATCAAACCCGGTTTACGTGATTGAGCACAAGGCATCATTAAGCTGATTTACTTGTTAACACTCTGCTACAACAAATACTTTATTTGTAAAATTTTCAACATTAGATGAAAAGCAGTTCAAAAATAATGGACAGTTCAGACATGTTTGGAGATAAGAACCACCATCAAATGAAAGACCTCAAAAGTTTGAACGATAAGAACGGCCAGTTGAAAGCTGTCTATAAAGGAATGTTGGTGTCTGTTTGTTACTCAAACATGCACAGCATCAAATTGACCAAGGAAAATTTGGTTGAACTGGTCCAAATGAAGGAACTCCAACACGACAACTTGCTCCCTTTCTTAGGCGCCTGCACAGATGATCATAAAATTTGTTACGTTGTGCAATACTGCAGTAGAGGTTCTTTGCAGGTGGGTTACTAAACTCGGATTTCGGTGTTGAATTTGAATTGAATAAGAAAAGAACTTAAAGTGGAAAAAACATTTTTATTTATGATTAATGAATAATGTTTTAAGAAACTGAAATAAAACTTGGTAATAATATTTAAACAATTTCCCATGGTTCATAAATTTGTATAATAATAATCAGTTTAGCAGTATTTGATTGAATTTGGATAAATATTTAGACTCTATTACGTTCATAAATATTTTAACAGGACATGCTGAGCGATTACTCTAAAAAATTGGACTGGTCGTTCAAATTCTCGTTTGTGATGGATATCGTGAAGGTGATTCGTTGATGAAACTTTTTTATGATGAAATCTTGATAATGACAAACCGTCTCATTATTACAACGTATTTGTAATATTATAGATGTAGAGTGATTTATATACATATATATATTTTTCTAAATATTGGATTAAGACTGTCAGAAATGCAAATAATGATGAAAATCACAGCATGTTCCGCGTTAATTAGCTTCCTGTTTAATTTTTCGAATTTTTTAACAACAGGTCGTAAATCATTGTCAAGTTTTTTGAGTTCAAAACCAAAATTTTTATTTATTTTAAGCATGATAGTACGAAAAAGCTTTTTTCGGTATTCCTATACCATCTTCGGTGTTCGAATTGATATGTTATGTAGCCGAATGCTCAAGTATATATATATCCTGTGTCTCTAAAATTTTAATTCGATGTTCATTTAATGTGAATACTTAAGAGTCATTTAATTAGTTATTACCAGTGGCGGATCAAGACAACTTTGAAGGAGAGAGGCCAACAAGTTGAAAATATACAAATTTTCACGGGAGCCAAGATTTGTGGAAGTGGGGCTGAAGAGCTTTTTTGCTTTTCACGTTCAAATTTTGGTCGATTTTACACGTAAAACGGTCTTTATTCTGACTTTTAATAGAAAGCTGCTTACCAGTGGCCACCCGAGCCCCTAGATCTGTTACTGGTTATTACGATCTTCAACTCTGTGCATTATTACACTTTTATATTATAAAATAAAATGTATTTTTCTGTTAATGTCACTTGGAACATTCATTTGAACAAACCTCCAGGGTATGACTCACCTCCAGAAATCATTTGTTAAGTTTCACGAAAAACTGACCAGTAACGTCTGCATGTTGGACAACAGGTTAGCTTTGTACTTATTTTGATTCAATATAAATGTTTGTAATAATAAATTTTAACGCAAATTAGTTTTCGATATATACTAATAAAAAGTGAATTTATTTTGTAACTTGAAATGTTATCAAACGACAAGATGGGTTGTCAAAATAACCGGATTCGGCTTAAAAAAGTTCAGATCCTTGCCTAAATTTGATGAAACAACCGACGATTATTATCGTGACCTTTTGTGGACTGCTCCTGAAATTTTGAGGTCGAATGACCAGCAGTCAAGTAGTCCGGCGGGCAATGTGTTCAGCTTTGGGATCATCTGCCACGAGATTGTGTTTAGGAAGTATCCGTACCAAGATTCTGGCTTGTCAGCTAAAGGTCTGTTAAGTAAATTGCGGTAAGTTTTTTAACTTTTAAACAGCATCTATTTGCATTTGGTTAGATGCTTTGTTCAAAACGTCAACATAGAAAACAATATTTAAATGTTTGTTTGATTTAAAATAGTCTTGATGACAGAACATTGATTTGAGCTTTTTAATCAATTGTTTTCAAAAGTGTGGCCGCGTACAATGTGAAGGTTTCAATAACATAGAATAAGTTTAGCATGAAAATGACTACATATAAATATGCATGTTTAAAATGCTTAATTGTAGGACATTCAATCCAATAATTTTGCAGCACAATTTATGGTTGCGAAATCATGACAGCTGACCACATTTTTTAAAGAAACAATCTGATGACCACTAAAAACTGTCAACGAGCAACAGCTTTTTATTAATCCGACATACCATTGTTATTAAATTTGAAATTTTTAGATATAATCCAAAGAGTGATGCATAGTGCTGATGGAATATTTCGTCCTGCAATGTCGCCACACAAGTCGCCGAGTGTCAGTCCATCCATGCTGGAGTTGATCCAACTGTGCTGGCATGAGAACCCTGCCAACAGACCAACTTTTGAGAACATCAGTAAAGTGCTACTCAAGTTGAACAAGTAATTTTTTGTTTTTTAATTTAAAGCTTTGTATTAAATTTGTTTGTAGGATGACAATGTGTTGAACAAAACAAAATTTTAAAAACTCTATTTAAAATATTGAAAAAAAACACATTAATTTCCAACAAACTTAGTAACAAATTTTGACTGTTTCAAGGACCAATGTGAACATAGTAGACAACATGCTTGAAAAACTGGAAAAGTATGCGAATGACCTTGAGAAAATTGTAGAGCAGAGAACTGAAGAACTTGTTGGCGAAAAGAAAAAAACAGATTTGCTGCTAAACAGTATGCTGCCGCCGTGAGATAACTTCGTGTTTGATTGTTTTTACGTCATTGCTTTAATTTATTTAGTTAAGTATAGAAACGGTTAATAAACTGCAAAACTAATTTTTGAAGTTTCATTTTTATATATTTATTTTTTAGAGATATGTGTAATTCTATTATGAAGCTTTAAATAAAGTAAAATATACTTGAAGAATTTTTCAAAAATATATAATTTTTTTGTTTTAAAATTTCACCGTTTCTAAAAGATTCGTAGCAGAAGAGTTGAAAGCTGGTCGCAGAATTGAGCCCAAGATGTACCAGAGTGCCACGGTGTATTTCTCAGACATCGTTGGGTTCACGACGTTGTCATCTCAAAGCACTCCCATGCAAATTGTGGATCTGCTTAATGATCTCTATGGAGCATTTGATGATACCATCTCGAGGCATAATGTTTATAAGGTCAGTTTTATTAAATGGCTACATTTTAAACCACTTTGTTCATTGTTATTTCCAAGTGTAAATTATTCAATCTAAAATTATGCCAATAAAATATTCCTAGTTCAAAGGTAAGAAGAGCTCAGAAAATTTAAACAAGCAGGTACGTCGGTCTTGCGTTTGCGTTGCAGGTTAATGACTTCGTTGCAGGATCATCTGGTTTCTATGCATATGAGCGGATCAAAACAATTTGTAAGTAGCTAAGCTGCTCCCGTTACAGCCACATAAACCAGAACAAATTAGGGTATAATAAGATGACATTCAATAACATGGTAACAATTGATTGTCCGGCAATTTGCTCAATTGGGAGCAGTTTTTCTTTTGTCAGAGCTAGACAATAAAAAACAAAAGAATGGCCCCTCATAATTTTCACAATATAATATTGTTTGATTTCTTTGACTCGTACAAGACGCAAATTCATACATTCAATTAGTTCCTGCTTCAATTTTAAAATCTGCATTTTTTAAACGTTTAAAATGCGATACACTAAATTATTTTAAGGTTGAGACGATAGGAGACTCGTACATGGTTGTGAGTGGTCTGCCTCAGGTAACAGAGCGCCATGTCGTGGAAATATGCAACATGGCATTGGATCTGCTGGGCATCGTCAAGACCTTCAAGATCAGACATCGGCCTGAGATGACACTCATGTTGAGGATTGGCATTCATTCGGGACCTTGTGCTGCTGGTTCGAAAATCGTTGATGTGACTTTACTGTTTGTGTATATAACTAAAAAATAATAGTGCTAAAACATTTTTTTACTATTTAATAAAAAATATCGGAAAAAAGAGAAACATTATTTGTATCAAAATTTTTTGAAAAACATTTGTCAAATTATTTATGTGGTTAAATTTTTTAAACAAGTTTATTTGTAGTTCTATATTTTTTTCGCAGGAATAGTTGGTCATACGATGCCTCGTTACTGTCTGTTCGGGGACACAGTCAACACCGCTTCTAGAATTGAGTCGACCGGTCAAGGTTGACGTTAAGCGAAAATATTTTTAGTTGAAATAATGTATCTAAAAATTATGTTTTTTCAATATTTGGTATATTTACATTTTTTTAAACATAAAATTAAATTATCAGTTAATTTTTCAATTTAAAAAAAAGTCATTAATGAGAATCTAATGTATTTATTCAATAAATTTCACCCCAAATGATAAAGCCCTCAAAATCCACATGAGCACAGCAGCCCGAGATCAACTCCTCCAGTTTCCCGGCTACGTCATCGAGTTGAGAGGTCCCACTGAGTTGAAAGTAGATAAAATTGTGTTAAATCATAAATGTTACTTTTGCATTATCTTGTTCAAACTTTTTTCAATAGTTAAAAAGTATAGTTTTATTGTAATTAATGATTTCCAACTTCTATTCAAAAATCACATAAGATGTCTAAATTATTCCAAAACAAACTGATCAGCGTGTAAACTTCTGACGATAATTTTGCTAACACTTCTAAAACAGAATTATTATTAAAATAAGTGATCACTATAATTATTTCGTTTTATAACAGGGGAAAGGTAAGATGGTGACTTACTGGCTGGTGAGGAAAAAAGCAACAACTGATGAGCTGGAATGACGATTGGTGTTTGTTTAGTAAAAGATTGTGATGGTATTTTTTTAAAATATAAATATTGCTAGCGTAATATATAGGCAGGTATATTTGATTAGTATAATATATAGACAGGTATATTTGATTAGTTTAATATATTAAGATGGAAATATTTCTGATGAATGTTCTATAAAAAATGTTCTTAAACGGATAATATCCTTTCATATATAAAAAAAATAATTATTTTTTTATTAGATTTAAATGAATGATTTTGTTAGATTTAGCGTGCAACCATATGTTTAAAAGTTCTAATCACTCGTTGTTGTATTTTTTCAATGAATTCTTGTGCAATATAAATATTTTACAAACGATGTTCTTTCTAAAACTGAAACAAAAATCATCAGATATTTAAATATAAGATTATGGTAGCAACTTTATTATATTTTGATTTTTTATTTATATATATTTATATTATATATATATATTATATTTTGCGAATTATATATAAGAGAATGGTTTTAATTATAAATTCTTACCACACGCAGGATGTAACAGCTTGGGGATTTAATTCTTTAAAGTGAAAATAGTTGGTAAAAACGGTATTTAATATTAGGAAATCACCGTATGCAATCATAAAACATAACGATTGTGTGATAAATAGCTAGAAAAATTCATCGACTTCTTTTTGGGCATTTTTTTTGCCGGTAGCGTGTACAAAAAATTTTCGTTTTACCGCATTTTTACGAAATATAAACACTTCGACAGTTTCAATAAAAATTTATAATACATTCCAAAACAAGTATAAATTGTTAAAATTAAAAGAATTAACACACCTTCATACTTAATAAAATTCCCCCATCTTATTCAACTCTTACCAAAAATTAACTAAAGTTACCTAATTATTTCTTTTAACTCGGATTAATATTAAAACAGCGGCATTTGAGATGAGGACATTAATGTGTGTGAGTTTTCATAGTTCACTTATCATTTCTTTCAAAATATTTTTTCGTTAATTTGTTTCCTTTCCTAACTGGAAATCTCACATGATATCTTCAACTTTGAAAATCTTAATTTGTCCTCAAATTATCTTCCAAAAAATAAATGTCCAGGGAAATGGAAAAAATAAATAGGTATGTCATTGGTTAAGCAAAGCCAAAGCGCAAAACTTGGATGCGTGCTTTAAGCAATTTATACCAGAAGCATCACCTAATCTAGGTTAGGAGGTATAAGTAAATATAGGTTATATATAGACAGATGTTAAAGTAGGTAAGCAATTATAATGATAGTTGAGTTATGAAAGTAGTTCACGACGAGACAGCAAATTTACAGACATAAAGCAGCTTAATACAATACAATATAATATAACGTATAATTAATCAGAGCATATAACACTTTGTATAATATGAATGTGGTGACAAACAATAGGGACTGACTGGTTAGAAAGAGTTAGACAGCTAGTCAAGCTAAGTTCTCCTGGTATATAATAATAGGCGAGCACATAAGTTAAAGTTAGTTAGAGTTATCTCTTGAACACTACTTATACACATTTACACATTATCATTTACTCTTTACATTTTAATTCTCAGTTTTTAAACTTTGCTATTGTATTTCATTAAAATATATTCAATTGCAATCAAACAGTAAAAACTATTCTATTTCGATTACTAAACATTATAACATTTAAACACTAACTAATAATCAACATACGTAAGTCACCAATTAAAGTCATCTATCATTATTTTATGTACATGAAAAATTTCAAGCTATTTAACGGTGAACGAGCAAGTTTACAGAAACAGAAAGAATTTCCCCAAGAACAAACAACGTGGCCGTTCTGCAACCGTCGTAGAATGGTGAATAACCAGCAATATAATAATATAGTTATAGAGAAATCATCGGACGTGTAATTTAAAGAATCTAAAAACGAAAGAAATGATAATCTAAACAATAATCGGCATGCTTGATAAAAATGGGTTTTCAGCAGATGATAATTTTAAAATTTACTGGGGTTTTATTATCAGTTATTAGTTAGAGAAGCAACTGGTTTATACGGTAAACAAATTGGAAGGCGATCTATTTGATTGTTTATAAATGATAAGTGCGATTTAATTAGAGTTTTAATTAAAAATTTAATTTAATTCAGTCGTTGAGTGCTTTAAAATTTCTATACGTGCTCTTTACGCATCATGACTGTTCATCGTTCATTAAAACTCGTGAATTTTAGGGAACGTTTCGTCAGGCTTTTCAAAAAGTGCGTGAGTTTCGTTCACGAAGCAGACTGAAAATAAAATATTTTCTGTCAAAGTTATCTGAACATTATTAACAAAGCGGTTAATATCATAAAAAAATTTTATCGAACAGGATCGTTAATAACAAACAAACATTTTAATCTTTGTTTGTTATTAACTTTCTTTCCAAACAAACGTTTCAGATAAACGTTTAAGATTGATCATTTTTCCACAAATTGGGAGTTATTAAATTTAAAAACTGATTTTATTTCACTCCAATTAAGCGTTATTTAATGAGTTCGTTTTACTCGTTAACTTAGATTTGATTCAGGCACGAACGCTCTTTTAAATAAAAATTTTCAGAAAATAATTAATTCAAGTACGTTTTTCAGTTTAACGAGTTGAATCGAGTAAATGTTTGATTCGCAAAATGTCAAACTTTTTTCGAAATTTTTGTAGGAATTTAATTTGAAGCACCTGCCGGTATCACGTGCACTGAATCGGTTCATTAGACCTTTCATTGCTTTGCAATCCTTATAAATATGATCCGTCGCTTGCATTTCATCCCATTTAACATTTTAAGTTCGTCTCTTCGTTTTATTTTTCAAATAGTTTTTCCTACTTATTTCCAGCAAATTCGAGTTAAGATACGTGTCGGTGCAATCGAAAATTAACAATAAAAACGTTCGACTGGCCATTATGTTTTGTCACAACCAATCATTCTATTCTTTACTTACATACCATTTTGCGAGTACAAATGTTTTTGAGAATTTTTTTGCAAAATAAAAATTATGAAAAGCATTTTCCATTTTTTGAATTTTTCTTTTAGCCAATTTTTTTCTCTGTAGAAACAATCAACACAAACAATTTTGTCGATGTCAGATACGTTTTTTCCATCATAAAGTAGTAAAACAACTTTTTCTTTAAACTTTTTCTTAAAAATGTCGAGATATAACTCAGTGTTGATGTTTTCCTTCATTACATATCTGATAAAAAGTTGGGATATCCCAAACAACATGGTCCAGATTGGCTTGATAGTGAGTGATGAAGACGAGGACAGCTACGTGGGCAAGGTGCAGAATGGCTACTGGAAGGCCACCAACCAGACTGACTACAACATCTCCTACCAGTACAAGTCAGTCACAGTCATTTAATTTCATACTCTGCCGGTTACTTACATTTATACTTGTTAATAAATGATACGAATTGCTTACATTAGTTAATTAATTACATTTTTATTATTTGATATATAGTTCACTGTTATTAAATGAAATTTCATATTTTAAAAATCTCCCCAAGACTAATAAATCAATTTTTTTCCTAGTTATATATAGTTCACTGTTATTAAATGAAATTTCATATTTTAAAAATCTCTCCAAGACTAATAAAATAATTTTTTTCCATTATCAACAAAGTTAAACTATTATATCGATAAAAAAAAATTGGGACAATCACACACATCATCACATTATACACGACGAAAGCAAGTTACGTATAAACAGCAGTTTGTTAAATTTCAATCAGTCAAGCAGTAAAAATTTCATTGCGATTAAGAAGTTTTTTTTGAATTGATTAAATTAGTTTTTTAAGTTTCGCATTCTGTACGTCAAGACCTGCCCGTGCACACGCCTACAAGTTCATGCGCACTTACATGACGGCCGACCGCATTACGCACCTAAATTACGCACAAGAGAAGTGCACTTAGTTTGGAAATTATAAACAAATTTACTTCATTCTAACATGCCAACTAATCACTACTTCTGTCTTCATTTCATTATTAAAATTTTTGGAAAAGATAAAAACAGGGAAAATACTAAAACCTGAACTGTTATCAAACTGTACTCACACAGCTTGATATCAACAACTGTGAATGTGTGCGATCGTATGAGCGGCACCAGGGCAGCAATGCATCTCTTCCTGAACCAGTCTGCAGATGTCATCATTGGCTCCTTCTGTTCTGCCAGTGAGTTTCAAATATTTTGTTCAAACTTTTAAAAAATTTTAAACTATGATTTTCTATAATCGTCTTAAATGGATTCATTTCAATCTCCGCTGAAGGTTTTTAAATGAAAAAAATGTTTTATAAATAAATAAACGAACATGAATATTATGATTATAATAATAATGTTGATCATAATAATGTGATTCATATAAATGTAAATATTAACCATTTTATCCACCAAATTATGTGACTAGTCACAGAACCTCACAATTTTCATCGCGACAACAGACTGCGTGTCAAGCGCTCAAGTGGCTGACTATTGGGACCTTCCCTATTTCGCCCTGGACTGTATCGATCCGGCCCTGGACAACTCCACCCTCTACTCGTCAGCCATCAGACTGATTGGATCACTCAATGCGTATGGTTCAGCTTTGTTAGCATTTTTCATGCGGAACAACTGGAAGAGTTGTGCCATCGTGAAGGAAGTTGAAACTGATTTCTGCCAGTATGCTATGAACGCCTTAAGGAATAAGTTTCGAGGTAGTGTGAAGATCAGTGAATTTTTGGAAATCACGAATGTGCCCACCGATGATGAGGTGAAGAATCTCTTGAAGAAGATTGAACTGTCGGCTAGAAGTTTGTATTGTTAATTACTACGTTTGTTCTATACTGAATAATTTTTTTCATGCAGTGTCAGCTGTTTCAATTATAATATATTTTAAGATTGCAAATAGACTTACAAATATTTTTGGGTAAATAATGATTGTATTAATTATTTACATTAAAAAATGATAATATTAAATGAACAGACGAGTGAAAAATGTAAGTATAATGAACTTTTCATCATTGAAAATGACCACTTCACCGTAGCGATGAAACGACTTTAGATTATAACTACACTCTCATACTCTCAGTTATTTTAGTCTGCCACACCAACCCGAGAACCACGATGAACATAATCGGAAAAGCATACAGACTGGGCATGGCCGACCCGAAAGAGTACGCCTGGATCACTCTCTACAACATTTACTCCAACTTCAGCTTTGATACACTCTTCGTCCCCTGGCAGATTGCAAACGATCCTGACGAAAAAGACAAAATGAGGAAAGCATTCCTGTCCGTCAAAGTGGTTTGTGCCGATCGTCATTTATATTATTTGAGAGTGTCTTATTGACAAGTGTAGGGATGCTGCCAATGCAACATATTGTTACAAGTTTTTCTTATATCATGATTTTAGCTAATCTATTGATCTGAATATGCGTTTTCAATAGCTAATAAGAAAAAAATTGTACATTAAACGAACGTTTTTCAAATTAAACGAACGTTTTTCAACATTGCTCTGTAAATTTGAAATTTTTCTTAAGTCTGAAATGAAAAATTATTAAACAATGAAATTCATAAATTTCAAAAACTGAGTTTTCTCAGTTGTTTATAAATTAATAAATTAATCATTAAATATGATAGATTCTAATACAAATCGAACCTGTTTCCAGTTGACCTATAAGAACTACACACGTCTGCCAGATCCAGGAGCTAACTTGCCTCGAGCTGTCACGTCCAAATCATTGCAGATGGTTGAAAAACGCTTTTCATTATTTTAGCATTTATTAATTTTTTAAAAATCGCCCCACCAACTCAATGTCACAGGTATATTCAACCGCTTATAAAAACACATTTGATCTATGCCAATGGTGTTTCAGCGAATAGATACACGAACGATTTCTTTACTTGTTAACATGCTTCAACATACATTCTTGCTTGTGCTGTACTACAATTTTTAGTATTTTCTTTTAATGTTGGTATAATTTCACAAACCATTTTAACTTGAAATGAATAGATAAATTAATTTCTCCTCTTCCTATAACTACTTGTGCCTTTTAATAACCAATTTTGCATCAATTTTAAGAAAAGAGACACTTGTCTAAACTGCCTTTCATTCAGGATATTCTGACGGATTCAGTTTTCATGTTTTTCTCAGTCATGTCAAGGGCATCCAACAGAAATCTGAACCCTCTCAGTGGCAGGAACATTCTTAATTTGAGTCGAAATCTGGAACTGAATGGCGGTAGGTTCATAAAAAATCTTTAGAATGATTAAAAATTTTGCAAACTAGAAAACTGGTATTTAGATGAATTGATATATATATATATATATATATATATATATATATATATATATATATATATATATATATATATATATATATATATATACTGTCTCGATGAATTGTTATGTTGATGAATTGAAAGTATAGATGCACAAATTTATGAGAAACTTTCGAATTGATAATAAAACAGACTTAGCTATTCATATTCACACTTAAATTAAATATATAATGTTAAAAACGAAATAAAAACCAACGAAATGTGTTTGCGGTGCATCTCATAAATTTACAAATGAGCTAAACAAATTTGCTTGATACGCAGAAATTTTTTTTTTTTTTTTTAAATTTGAAATCACTTTCATAAGGAGACACTGAGGCAATAAAAATGAACGCTGATGGGGATCGGTTCATGACGTTTGTCGTTTGGTCACTGGCTCCAGATTCGACCATGTTCCGGCCATTCATCAACATTAACTTCACGGACGGAAATTATACTGTTTGTAAAAGTATTCTGTGAAATAAATATTCTCTCATTTTGCAGTTTAATTTTTTGTACCATATTGCACTCAGCCTTTCTTGGTGGACACGGAGACGTGGGGCTATGCCAGCAGTCCGCCCATCGACACACCAATCTGCAGCTTCGATAACAAACTTTGCCCACGCAGTTAGATTCTTTATTCAGTTTTATATCATTTATAGGATTTTTAGTTTTATTTTTTTTGGTAAAAATTAGTTATAAAATTTGAAAATGAGAATGTAACAAAATAAAATAGATTGAATGATTGCAACAAACACTAGATGACAATGCAATCATCATTGGGCTGGCAGTGCTGTTTGTGCTGCTAATACTTTCTGTAGTTCTGGCCATGAGCATCAGGTCGGTCCATTGAATATTACAACAGAATCAATGACAATGTGTTTATTTTGCGTGCTAGAATATTAAAATAAAATCTGTTTGGTTTAAAAACAACGATTAAAATAAAAATTGTTGAAGATCGCGCGTGAATGAGCAGAAGATTCAGAGCATGACATGGAAGATCCGATACAACGATTTGCGATTTTTCAAAACGACTAGAAGCGTGAGCCGTGTTATTTCATTCCTGTATAGTACATCCATCATTATAGAACAGATATAATAATAATAACAACGTAAAAATGTTTCTTTTAAATTGAAATTTAAAAATTTTCATGAAATTTTTCGTCACCGAACTATAGAAGTTGTCATGAAAATTGAACTATACGCAATGATTTAAAGCAATAAGTTATTAGAAAAAAAGAGAAATGTAAATCCCGGCAGATGAAGAGCATGTCCCGATCTTCAGATATGAACGAATCAGAAGGCCACATCTTTCCAGAATCCTTCAGAGAATTTGAAGATTCGATGACAGGTGGCGTCACACTGGCACTCTATAAAGGAGACGTGGTCACAGTGAATTATTCCGGAAAGAGAGAAATTGTTTTGTCCCGGAAGGATCTCGTGGAGCTTGTCAAAGTCAGCCAACTTCAGTGTTGATTTATTCAAATGAATACTAAAAATTTTACAACATTTATCATTTAATTCAACTGCCTTCTTTATCAAGCACTAAGAATTAGTACTTTCTAGAGGTACCTACTATCAATTGTTTGACATCTTGTAGTAGAGAACAGAATTAAAAAAATTGTGTTAGAAAACAAAATAATATTGCTTATTTAATATAAAAAGTAGAAACAGAAAATTATAAACTTTGTTGACATATTATTAAAACAATATATTACTTTTAAATTTGTAGTCAAAACTATCTGCATTTTTTTAGTTACAATAAAAATGTAAACCCCATAAAAAGAGGTTGTCGCAAAAATAACAAAATGTAGATGAATATTTTCTGCAATAATGAAATTCTTCCTTCAAGTTAGTTTCAGCGATCAGCAACATTTCAACTTTCATTAAAAGTTCTTGAAAATGAAATGTTATATTAAATACTTGCGTGGAGATGAAGGACCTTCAGCACGACAACATCGTCAACTTTCTTGGAGCTTGTGTCGAACTCGACAGGATATGCTACTTGAATCAACATTGTGCTAGGGGCAGCTTACAGGTTTTCATTCAATATTGTAAATGTGTTTTTTGGTTTCACAAAACTTACCTGTTAATATAATTCATTAATAATATTTACTCAATATAAGTATTAAATTCGGTTTCAAACTACCATCCTAAGCATTCAAAATGTCTCATGTTTTTTCAGCAAAAGAATTTTAGAACTTTTATAATTCATACAGTTCATGACATAAAAACGTAAAATATTTACGACTAAGATATCAAAAAGTTATTGCAATTACTAAAAGCTAAACGCTTTTATCATTGTTAATGTTATTTTTAATCTTGTAAGGAATTGTTGGCAGATGCTCAGACGGGCATCGATTGGACCTTCAAACTCTCTTTCATAACTGATCTCACCAAAGTAAGTGCAATGTTTCACAAACAGTCTTCGCAGTTGTACGTTACGAAAGCTGGTTATTTAATTCACAAAATTGACGGTTAGGTTACGGTGAACTTTATTATGGATGCTAATTTGTCTTTTTTCTATAATAATTTGACGCATTATTATGACATAAGTATCCTAATTTTATTTATGGTATTTGCATTGAAAGAAATATATAAAAGCGCTTCGAGATATCGAGTTTGCATTGTGTTGAAAAAAATGATGCTTTTATCGGCTCTTGAAAACAGCGGTAACATCCTTCAAATCAGCCTAGACTTTGACAGAATCAACTGAAAACATCTGTGTCTAATAGTTCGATGTCGAACACCATCATTGATCCTTTTGTATTATCACAAACTAAGCAAGAACCACAATGGTAATCACAAACAATCAGCAGTTGTACGTTACGAAAGCTGGTCATTTAATTCACACTAGGGAATGATCTATCTTCACAAATCTTTCGTGGTACAACACGGCAGTTTGAACAGCAACGTCTGCCTTATCGACAACAGGTTTTTTTACTGCTGCCTAACATTTTTAAATACTTATTCATTTTTATATATAATTTTCAATTGTTTTTAAATGGTCTTAATGTTTAATTGTGTGGCTGTTTATAATTGTTTTATATGAAACATTAAAATTACAAATTTTGGAAGAAAAATAGGACAATCTAACCTTATGAACAAATTTTTTTTTGTAAATGTTTTTGGAGTGCTCTGAACAAACATAAATTTTAGATTTGGTACTTTAGAGATAGAAGTTCGTCGTCTCAAAAATATTCAATAAAGCAGAGCTCGCTAATTTTTTAACAAAGCAGATTATTTGCCAATTCATCTAACATCTTAAATTAAGTAAATTTATTTTATTGTGAAAAAATGATTCAGTAGTTATTTTTAAAATTTTAATTAGTTTAACAATTAGCGTATGATTTTTAATTTACGTATATTTAATTTTTGGACCCGATAAAACTCAGGTGGGTCCTCAAAGTTGCAGGCTTTGGTCTAACGATGTTCAAAACGGAAACGAAAGAAGAAACACCAAGCGAGAACTTCTACAGGGACCTCCTCTGGACTGCACCTGAGCATCTGTTGGCATCTTATTCCAGTCAGTTTTTGAACATTAGCTTATTGAAAATGAGCATCGTAAATATTTTTTTCATTCATCAACTACTTTTACTAACCAATTTTGTAGTTTTAGTTAAATTTTTCTGCTAATTTATTTACTCGTTTTTTTTAAACGAATCGTTTTATATTTTTTTCCGACAAATAATATTTATTCTCTCATAAATTTCCATCATTTTATGCGCTACACAGAAGCCAGCCAAGAAGGAGATGTGTACAGTTTCGCCATCGTTGTCTACGAGATATTGTACCGGTGCTTTCCGTACCAGTCCACAAATCTCAAGTACAAAGGTGGTTGCTCAACACTTTAATCAACTTATTTTCCTGATTGGTTTTTTTGCTTTATATTGTGTGCTTGTGATCATTTAATACATTTGTTTATTTTTTGTTTGTTTTTCGCAAAATTATGATTAGTCAACGATATTGCATCTGCATCGAAACCAGATATAATAACTCGCATACATAACTGCCAAGACGGATCGTTTCGACCTTACTTGCCGTCTCTGGTCGATTCCGATGCAAATCCAGCAATTTTGGACCTGGTCAAGCAGAGCTGGTCCGAGGATCCAGAGCTTCGTCCCAAGTTCGATGCCATCGAAAAGACCGTTAAAAAATTGCATATTGGAAAGTTTGTTACTGAATGATTTGAAATTTTCAGATTACCAAAATCTATGTTAATGATATTTTCATATTTATTCAGACAGCATATTTTAGCGCAATATTATATTCATAAGAGACATATTTATTTTTTAATTTATCTGTATTACAAGAACGGACGGAATAGTTGACAGCATGTTGAAAAAGTTAGAAAAGTACGCCAACAATCTGGAGTTAATTGTGAAGCAGAGGACTCAGGAGCTGGTGGATGAGAAGCGGAAGACTGATCTTCTACTGAACAGCATGCTTCCACCGTAAGCTTTTTTTTTATTTATGACTTAAAAAATATGATTTTCAATAATAATTAATATAATATTCCGATGATGAAATTTGCATGTACTGTAGTTTTTATCAATTTATTAGATAAGGGTATTTTTTTTTTGTATACCAATAGTTTTATAGCAGATGAATTGAAGGCAGGCCGCAAGGTAGAACCGAAGATGTACAAGAACGCCTCGGTGTATTTCTCAGACATCGTTGGGTTCACGACGTTGTCATCTCAAAGCACTCCCATGCAAATTGTAGATCTGCTTAATGATCTCTATGGAGCATTTGATGATACCATCTCTAGGCATAATGTCTATAAGGTTTGCTTGTTTATTCCTAGTTTATAAAAAAAATTATCACATTCGTTTATCAAACTAAAAAGATATTTCAATTGAAGGTTGAGACGATAGGAGATGCGTACATGGTTGTGAGTGGTCTGCCTCAGGTAACAGAGCGCCATGTCGTGGAAATATGCAACATGGCATTGGATCTGCTGGGCATCGTCAAGACCTTCAAGATCAGACATCGGCCTGAGATGACACTCATGTTGAGGATTGGCATTCATTCGGGACCTTGTGCTGCCGGTTCGAACGTTTTCACTAATCTCTGAAGGTTGTATGCTAAGTGGTCCTAATAATTTCAACAGGAGTGGTCGGTCACACGATGCCTCGCTACTGCTTGTTTGGTGATACGGTCAACACCGCATCCAGGATGGAGTCAACTGGTGAAGGTAAAATTTTTCTTTGTCAGAAAAAAAAATTATTTTCAGATTGAATTAAATGCGTTACACACGCTCAAATAAATTTAACTATCATTATAATTGACGGTAACGATGGATGAACTAAATTTTTTCTACCAATTTTATTGGAATAGCGTTAAAAATCCACTTGAGCACACCCGCCAGAGATCAGCTGTTGAAATTTCCAGGCTATGTTGTTGAATTGAGGGGTCTTACAGATTTGAAAGTAATATTTGTAGATATTTTCAATTTATTCAAAATAGTATTCATGTTTATTCAAATAATATGCTTAGATATAAATTCATCATAATTATTTAAAAACGTGTTTTCAATGCTAATATATTACAAACAGTGAACTATATAATTTTCTATTTATATAAAGTATAATGTTCTAAAGTGTCAAAAATATGAAAGTCTTCCAAATATTTCTAAGGGACTTAAACACGCCCCGGCTTGCCAGCCTTATTGATTTAAGTGTCAAACCGCAAGTTGACTATTATACGGAACAAACTCAATAAAATCAGGTAAAAGGGATTTGTGCAAAAGCTGTAATCTACTCTTATTACATTGTATTAATCGTGGTAAGAATATTTCAAAATAATTACAAAAATAAGTTTTTAGTATAGCCAACAGCTAGCCACAGGATTGGTAAAAATTTGTTTAAACGTGTGCACAGACCGTTCAGTTAAAGCCATATTTCTAAAGAATCAGAATTAGCACTAACCGGGCTTCTAGCTTGCGCAGACCGCTTGAATAATACAATTCAATCACGCACACCTGGCCTTCCCAGCTGTTTTCTTAAATCCAAGCCAAGCCGAGCCGATTGATGGAGCCGATTAAGTTTGGCCCAGAATGTAGAATGATTAACGTTCGAGTTGTTACTAAGTTGTGTTAGCCACAGTTTTTAAACAAAAAATCGTTATAAGTAAATTTTTAAACATTTATTTTGCTTCCATTGTCACAAATCAAATAAAATGAAAAATTTCGTTTTTATGAAAGAGATAACATCTTTCGACATGTAGACGTTCATTATCTTTGTAGCTCGGTTTAGCTTGGATCGACTCGGCTTGGTCCTTCAAGCCGATTCGGCTCAGCTTGGTTTTGAGTTTTTTCGGTTCTCTTCAGTTTGACTTGGGTCTCATGTCTAGTCGAGCCGAGCTACGGAGATATCCATTCTAGTGACGTAAATTGACCCAATACGTTGCTACATATAATCCTTCTTATCTTAACAATAACTTCAATATTTATTTGGAAATTATTTCAAAATTTATAAAGGGCAAAGGAAATATGGTGACATATTGGCTGTTGAGGAAAGAATGAACGGATGTCAGCTAATTAGCCATTTTAATAAATAAATACAATTTGATAACAATTAATACAATTTATTGTAAACTGTACATGTCGATAACGCTTTCAATAGATTTTTAGTTTGCTAGAAGTTATATTATAAAGACAAAAATGTTTTTCATTTAGTTGTCTCCTAAATTTCGAAAACTTCACTTTACACAATTATTGAAACTGATTTAGCATCAGAAGATGTTGCAATAATAATCATGATGCTTCCTTAACTAAATATTTGTTTAAGTCAATGTTATTTGGTAAGGTTACATTAGAATATGTTAACTAAAAATTTTTGTTACTCAATTTTTTCTTTCAAAAGTTACATTGTTTATTAAATGTATAGTATATGCAGAACATCCCATAATCATGCAACCAACGTATCTTTGAAAGTGTACACAACTATGCTGCAGACTTGAAACAGGTCACCGTGCACCAAGTGTATGCGTGCTTATGCTCTTTATTGAATATATATTTTACAAAATACAACAAAAAATTCCAAAATATCCATAAATAGTCACTTGCAGTAGCACAACTGTGAGCCAAACAGTGAAGCAAACTAAGCACATAAGTGAAAAATGTGTCATACAAACAGGACCAGCAAATGATTTAAATTGAAAATTAACACCTTACCATAATCCTACACGCCGAATCACCACCCATAGTTTGGGTAACTTTTCATAGATCATGCTTAACATAAACAGGTTTCAAAATGCGTGCAACATACATTCACGTTGGCTCGCATGAATGATTTTCAGACAACTTCTCACAAAGAAGAGCTTCGTAATTGTAATCAAACAAGTCACGCATCCAAAAACAACTAAACAATTACAAGTTGTAACTGCTGAACGATAAACTTCACGCGTGAATGTTTTTAAACAATTTTCTCGTTTAATTGCTAGCAAGTGAAGAACTGTTTGCGCAATGACAAATTAATATTTCAGTGTTGACGGCTCCGTGAAAATATTAGCATCAGTTAATTGAGTTGCAACCAGATAATACAACAACCTCTGATGTCAGTGATACATTTGAAACTAATTAAAATATTTCTTATTTCTTCATTTCATGATATAAATTTTACGGGATTAAAAACAACCTAATCACTGATTAGTCAATCCAATCCATCAACGCCAGAAAGGGTTTTGAAATATGAACAAAAAGCAATAAATTTCACCAGATAATAACGTTGACGTATTGCATCTAGTTATATTTTATTCAAAGAAATTTGAATTGAAAAAACTTTAATGAGCATTAGTGATTTTATAAAGTAAGGTACACAATGCTTTATTAACGTCTGGTACATTTAAATAGACATTCCATTCAATCAAGTAGCTCGCACCTGGATCGCGTGATGAAGAATTATAAGGTTCGTCATTGTTCTCGCTCTATCTATTCGTTTCAAGCATTAACAAAAAATTTATGAGAGTGGTTTGATGGTAGAAAAATGTTTAAAATGAATCATAGATTGATTAATTAGAATAGAAACAATTGTAAAATCTTTTTAAGAGATGGACAATGGACGTAGAAATGAAAAACTAGCATCGATGAATCATAATGGGAAATTTTTCCTAATTAATTGATGTTGAAGAATCAGCTGAACAGGTGGGCGCGTCTGCTGCATGCAAATCAAATAATGTATTTTCAACAGTGATGACGCCATGCTAGGCAATTGTTACATCGTTATAAAGCATTAGATATTTGAAAAATATGAAACTTATTTGTAGGAAGTTTCATTGTTTAATGCAAGAATTAATTAGTTTGTTGTTAACAATAGCGTACATCTAGCGACGGATAATTATATTGACTCTGAATTGAAATATACTGAGTTATAATGCACTTATACAAATTGAAATTTTAAAATTTTAAACAGTATTTCTTATTTTTGACACAGGTAAAACTTTCATCCATCAAGCATAGCCTATAATTTTGCTGTTGTTTTTAGATATGTTGTGATTTATTTTTTTTACAATCTCTCAAATTTTTATATAGTTGTCTTTGGAATGCGCAATTTCAAATAAAATTTATGTGCATTTTTATGTCGACTTATATTCAAACGATACTGTCCAACTCTTGGGTGGTTTATTAAACTTATTTTATTTCTCCAGACGTTTGACAGTACTTGTTGAAACTAGGATTGATCTCAAAACTCGTCACCTTACAGGTTTCATCAAGGAGTTTGTCAAACAATCCTCCAATAAGAATTTGAAAAATTGTAATCGGCTGATCTTTAGTTAAAATTAAAAATTTAAATTTACTGCAATTATCACGCACTCAATATTATTATTTGAACTACCTTGTAACTACCAACACCTTTTTCATAACTTCAAAGATCTCTATATTTCCAACACCAGTGTTGTAGCCTCCAACGATCGTCAAGTGTTCGTTATTCCGTGGGTTCAAGATTTTCGATAGATGAACACAACTACTTCAAAAGTAAACTTGGATAAACGTTTATTTGAATGCTAACAGTAATTTGACCACTAAACTAACCCAATTCCAGACCCTTATGTATATGAGATTCTGACAATCCAAAGATTAAAAATATAGCAAAGATAGCAAATATAACAAGATAATAATTAATTATATAGCGTAATTCAACCATTCAGGCGGATATAACAATATCCTTAAAAATTCTTTCCGAATTATTTCTCAGCGGTATCAAGTTATAATGATGAGGTCTCTTTGCATTTAAGCTCAGTTTCTGCAATAGCAGGAGCAAATATTAACCATATTTTAAATTTGGATAAGTATATGCGTGCACTTTTTATAATTACCTAAGCAGCAAAATCAACGTAGTTATTTGATAAGTCAAACCTTATACATACATAGCTTACTTTATACCTAGCTTACTTTTACATTTATTTTGTATAACACACGCACACTCACATGCATGTGTGAGAACTTATATAAATTCAGAACTATCAATACCAACTAAGCTAACTTACGCTACATGTAGATAAGCACATAAAACTTTCAAATAAAATTTTCAACCAAAAAAGTTCTCATCAGCAAATTCTTAATTAAAAACTTTTCAAAATGCTTCATAAAAGCGCAAAATTTTTCAATTTTTCTCTAAAATTTTCATTTACCCATCGCAAAAAATCTCACTTCGCCATCTTCATCCTTCTCTTCACTATTTCCTTCCAGTCGGCATCATCAACTTCCGTTACCACTAAGAACGACACAATCACCATTGGGGTAACCGTCAGCAGCATCAACCAGGACTTGGTTGGCAATGCCATGAAGGCTGGGTTTTCGAGTGCTAAAGATGATCAAGTCTTTAATGGAAACTATACGTTAGTGCTTCAGTCGCTTTTGATTTTTTTTTAAACAAGTTTATTTCATGAAAACACATGAAAAAGGATACCAAAAGAAACCAAAATTCCAAATAACAAGGAACCCCACAAAAAATAATAAAACACATTAATGTTGTCAAACGTCAGTATCAATTTTTAAAAACTAATTAGTATTGTTACAAAATTTTAGAATTAAAAAACATATGCATAAAATTAAACTTGTTCCAACGAGAAAGAAAAAATTTTATCACAAAAAGAAAGAAATTAAAATAAAATGAATTAAATAAAATAGAATTACCTTTAATATAAAACCAAAATATAAAACCAAAATATAATATCAAAGAAAAGCGTATAAATAAGAAAAAACAATATAACAATATTGTATACTAAATAAAATTAATTAAGATAAACATAAAAGAAAATTTTTTAATTTATATTTAAATGGTCGATAAACAGTACAAGTTCTTATAAAATTTGGTCGCCTGTTCCATTTCTATACCCCATAAAAACATATATTTCTATTGAGTAGTTTGGTTTTAACTATAGATTCTTTTAATTTTTTTTCAAAATTTGAACTCGGTGGTCTTACCTTGATTTCATATTTAAATGAATCATGTAGGTAATTGTCTGATGGTCTTATAGCACTATTAAGAAATCGAAAAATAAAACAACAGCATTTAAGGTAATTTATTTCAAATATCGATAGAATCTTAAGTTTATTGAAAAGGTCTTTTTTATCTATATCGTTTTTAAAATTTATAATTTTTAGTGCTTTTCTTTGGGCATTAAATAAAATTTCCAAATACGTCTTGAAAGTGTTACCCCATATTATATTTCCATAGTATAGATGTGGATATATAAAAGCGTGATACATTAAAATTAAAATTTTGTTGGTAGAATATATTTTAGTCTGTTCATTATTCCCAAATTTCTATTTATTTTTTGCAGGATGAAATCAATATGTTTTTTAAAAATTAATTTCAGATCTATTATAATTCCCAATAATTTAAAATCGTCAACTCTGTCAATTATACTGTCACTTAAAACAAATTCTTCATCGTTACAGTTCAATCTTTTAAAAATCATATACTTGGTTTTTGTAATATTTATATTAATTTTATTATAAATAGACCATGTGTGCAATTTATCTAAACAATTATTTGTACAAACATTCAAATTATTTATATCCCTAGAAGTAGTGACCATTGTAGTGTCGTCTGCATAAACAATGAAATTAAAGATTTCGGTCGTATTGACGATATCTTTGATAAACAGGATAAATAATTTTGGACCTAGAATACTCCCCTGTGGCACACCATTTATCACCCGACGAGTATCTGAGTTACAATGGTTTATTGAAACGTATTAAAATCTATTTGCGAGGTAACTACTGAACTACTTCAGAGCATGTCCTCTGATTCCGTAATGTTCCAATTTAAACAACAGTATATCATGTGGAACGGAATCAAACGCTTTTGAGAAATCTAAAAACACAGTCGAAATAACATGACCAGCATCATATTTAAAAACAATTTCATTAAAAAGCCATATGAGTGCATTTTCAGTGGAACAATTCTTTCGAAAACCAAACTGATCATTTGTTAAAACATTATTGGCACTCATAAATGACTCGAGTCTTATCTCGACAACCTTTTCCAACACCTTTGAGATACAACTTAATATACTAATTGGGCTATAATTATTAACGTTATTGTGTGACCCAGACTTATAAACAGGAACAACCGTCGCAATCTTAAGACAGTCTGGAAAAATTCCAGTGGAAAGAGATAAATTAAACAAATGTGACAATATATGACAAATAGAATGATTTATGTATTTTAAGATTTTGTTTGAAAATTTATAGTGATCTAAACAAGAAGAGTTAGATAACGATTTAACAATGTTAAATATTTCAGCCGGACAGGTTGGCTTTAAGTAGATAGAGGAGGAGACTCCATTTTTCAAAAAAACATGGAAATTATTGTTTGTCGGCAAACTTTTACTAAACAAATCAATAAAATAATTATTAAAGATGTTGGCAGTTTCAATGGATTCGTCTTTTAATAATGTGAAGCTTTGAAATTTAACCTTTTTATTCATAAGCGAGTTAATAGCTTTCCATTTATCTTTACTATTAGTATCAGGCCTGCCAAACATATTATTATAGTAATTCATTTTTGATGCTAGAATAATCTTGTTGACTTCATTTTTAATTTTACAATATTTAGTTTTATTTCCATATGTTTCATTATTTTTAAATTTTTTATATAGCTCGTTTTTCTTTCTAATGAGTTTTTTAATTTGTATTGTCATCCATGGTTGATATGAATTTTTGAAATTCATGTCATTGATTGTTATATAGTGTGAATGATTTATTTAAAAATCATCAGATCATCATGAAAATTAAACGTTATTGTTTTGATCACTATTATAGAACTTATATAATGTGAATAAATTATTTGCGAAAATAATTTTCAAGTTTTAGGTAATAAAATCTGCAAGCCTAGACTGAATATATGCAAACGCGTTAATAATCATTTTGAAGAATTGTTTCTATGTTCAATTTTAGTTACAATATTTTAAGCATTTACAAACAACAATAGTCGAAGATAAGAGCCAAATCTGTTTAAATTAAACAGTCGATATATTTTCCGACTTTATTATTTGTAATCTTATATTGGCTTAATTGTTTGATATCTAAACTTAAAAATACGATTCAAGTGTTCCTTATCTAAAAATATAAAGTGATTCAGCGAACATTTCCGAGTATACATTAAGAGAATATTTAATATAATACAATGTAACATAACATAACATGACATGACATTAAATAACATGCATAACATGATATGATATGACATAACATAACATAACATAACATAACATAACATAACATAACATAACATAACATAACATAATATAATATAATATTATATAGAATCTAAATTATATTTAATATGATCGGGAGTATATTAAATCTGTATAGTCGATTTATGACAGTTTGAGGTGGTTTTGCAATTATTAAAATCAAGCGAGTAAAAAAGTAATCAAATATTGAAACTGTTTTACGTAAGCGTAGTTTTTTGAGTAAAAGTTTTTTCTTTACTTTATTGTCGTTGTTTTTCAAAATTTTCGTTTATTAAATGAATATTTTATTGAACGCGGTGAAAATTTGAATAACAATAGTTTGGAAATACGCACGATAAACCGGTGCGAAGGCATGCTAGGTGCCAGTGAAGGCCTGACGTTCATCCGCAACTTAACTGTTGATGTCATATTCGGGGCTTATTGTCCTGCTAGTTAGTGCATGTCATGTTATTTCTTCATTTATTCTTAGAAAATAAATTCTACAACCAATAATTTTTATTTGCAGAGTTTTTATGGCGACGTGGTTAATACTAATAATAACAATATGCTGTGATGCACGTGTGTACATTGAGTCAGGTTACAGTAGTAACGTGACTATAAGAGCTTTAAATTATTCATCCAATAATTGAATCTATATTAAATTAGATGAAATAAAATAAAATTTAAAATTTTTTTCTCCGTGTTAAAATGTTATTATTAGCAACTCAGAATTGTTGAAAAAATTTGAGTATTCTAATCTAATTTACTCTGCTATTTGTTTCACAAAACGTTTGATCTAAACAGAAATAAAATAAAATCTATCAGCAAGCTTTACAGCGCCTAAATTTTTTAAATCGAGTTTTTTGCTATTAACAAACTATTATACTTTTTGTTACTAGTTATTTGCTCATCACCAACGATCTGTCTTTTTACTAATTGGAAGAAAATAACATTCAAACTAATCACGTTTTCCAATACTTCTTGTTCATTCGACTGAATGACAGATTGCATATCAACTGCACAAGTGGCGACCTACTGGGACATCCCGTACTTCCCTCTGAACTGCTTCGACCCAACACTTGACAACTCAACTGTTTACACAACAACCATTCGATACTTCGGCTCCTTGACGGCATTTGGCATTCCTTTTTCAGTTTTTTTCCAAAAATATCAATGGAAAATTGTTGCCATCATGAGTGAAACTGGGTCGGAAGCATGCAACTATGGCGTACTAGCCATTCAAAATTCTTTGAAAAAAAATTCTGTGAAGGTAGTAGAGTTTGTGGAGTTACAATCAGCCTTTGGCAAGGATGATTACTCGGTGTTTACAAAGATACGTCATTCCGCTAGAAGTTTGTTTTTGTTCCATGTTTGAATGTTTGTTATCAGTGTGTTATATATTTGTAATATTAGTATGTTGCATTTATCACCCTACTTGTTATTTGTCATTTATAAAACAATTTTAGAAAGAATTGTTTAAAAATTTTTCAACACGATCAAATTTGTAATCCTTGCTAAACAATCAATTCATCTCCATTTCGCAATGCAGTCGTTATTTTCTGCCATTCAAACTACACTGTTTTCCAGCAAGTCATGTTTATGGCACAGGATCTTGGAATGACTGACCCAACTCAATATATCTGGCTTACGTTCTTTAATATCTACTTGGGTATGGTTTGAATTAATTGAACTAGGCAAAAATGCTTATTACAAGGGAAATTTTAATGTTTTTATTACGTGAACTTAATTGTGAATCCGCATCAATTTATTCAATTTTCTTCATTTTATCAACGAACTTAAACCAAAAATGAACATTCCTATAGCTTTGGCAAAACGTTTTAAAGTATTTCTTACATTATCAAATTTTTATTGAACTTATGGAACGCTGATGGTTACATTCTTCAAAATACTAACCATTAATTTAAATTAAAGTTGTACATCATTTGTGAATATTATTGAAACCATCTTTATTACCTTTATAAACAATTAAAAATTAGCGATTTTTTGACAGGTTTTCCATTCCAATACTTGCTCTATCCTTGGCTCTCCACTAACTCCACTAACAAGACTTCAACTGATGACTATAGAAGAAGAGCCTT